AAAAAAAATGTAGTTTATATCGGCCCAAATGGGCCGACTAAATCTTTACTTGTTAATAAAAATACAGTAACCTGAGGACGTGTATAAAGCTGATCCTCCAAACGAAGAGTTTCCAATGTCTTCGGTGGAAGGACCAATAAGAGATAAAGAGTGTACGTTTGATCTGACTTTGATCGGTGAATAAAGGATCTTGAATTTTCATATGGATAAGTAAGGTTCACCAAAATGCGATGATTCAGTGTGGAATCACTATTATCATTTGCAATAAATGTTCTTGTATGACCTTGAGAAGGCGGTGTGGGAATTAGGCTTCGTGGCGCACTCATAAGCTTCGAAAGGTATCGATGGGATCAAGTACGCGCTTTGGCAAAAAACGGATTGTCTCGTTATTAAACAAGCCCGCATCAAGGGATTTTTTCATTAATAGCTGGTCATAGTCTGAGATGCTGTTGGGTGTAACAATCATTGATGCTTGCAGCAGGAACATCGATGCTCATAGTATACAGTCTGGTTGTCTATTTCAGAAATGCGTTCCGCATGAATTGTGAAACTGCGTTGAAGGCGTTTGCTTCACAAGCTGCTGGTAAGCTCTGTTAACGAAAGGGACTTCTTGCCTTACTATTCGCTGATGCAAGACAGAGAGACTGTGTTATTGGTACAAATCAGAACTTTAGGGCTGATGAATTATGGGAAGTTTCGCAAGGTGAACTATTCTGTTTTCGTTTCTTGTCAGTTGATGGACATCTGTTCTTCACCGTGAATCCAATATAGAAAGGCCATGCAATGATTAGGCGATCAGCTCAATGTGATCTTTTCGCATCGAAGTAGAGGATGATTGTTGACGACAAAGAACAAATTGTTTGGTCGTTTCTTTAGTACAAATGGTTTCATTAACGGAGATTCATGAGTCATTCCAAGGAATGTTCTAACTTGTCCTGGTTCGAAGCATTTTATCGGCGCACTTTTTCTTGCACATTAACATCGCAGTGAAATGGCCTTATCCAAGGTATTACAGCGTTTGGTAGTAGTGTAATCAGTCAGGAGAGCTTTTAGTCTGTCTAAAAAAAGATACCAGTTACTACTCGGATTGAAGAGTGGTGCATGCCAGAGGATTTGAAGCCCGATAGCAATCGTTGCACTAGAAGCGCCACAAGCCTACAGTTAAGGCATTTGCTGAGGAATGGATGTTTTAGGGTGGTTTGGCAGAAGTTATTTTGAATTATCAGCATCCAAAAGAGACACTGAGGGCAAGATAGTCATATGAAGAGCTTGGAGAGAGCCAATCGTATGTGCATATCCTATTGATTATGATCACGAAGATGTATATATTGGGTCGTATTTATGCGTTCGAGCTGAACATTATAATCAAAAGGACAGTAATAAGCAACTTTGTCGCACGATCACCAATATCGTTATGCAGAAGATTCTAAAAAAGGGGTTTGACTTGCTGGCTACACAAGCGCGAAATTATTCATCTGACTCTTGTTTTGAAGTGTTAAAAAACCAAGCTGCTCATGTTCAAATCAGTGTTAACCATGAATATTCATATTGTATGGTTCAGTAAGTTATGGATCAGGGATCTTGTCTATTAATTCCTAATAAATCATGTTTGTATTGAATCAAGATAAGGTCTTTTACTTTTTAAAATCCAGTTTTATTGTGTGATATCAGCTAAGTTAGTAAATTCTCCTTTGGTTCTACATACTACTGCGCTTTGCTGTACCTTAATCTGGACTTTGAAGGCTTGCAATAAAAAGTTTGCATATAAAAGGGCAGACTATTTGATCTGTTTATTTTTTCATTGTAGAATAGCATTTTAAATTAGAATAATGAAGACTTTAACAATTGTATCCCTTGTCATGGCCTCTGCCTTTAGTATAGTTTCTGCAAGATGTAGTTTTGGCGCTCAAGCTGGCTGTGGTGGAAGTGAATCAATCAACAAGAGAGACTTTCAATGCTGTATGGACAGATTGGAAAGGGCTGACCACTTCAAGAAATCTGAAGCTACTTGTGGTTCCATCAGATGTAGCGGTTTCGTTGGAAATGATTTCAGAGATTTAAGACAAAAGCTCTGGGATCAGTGCTTAAGTGGTGGAAGAAGTCACCATGATGGCCAATCCTGGTGCAGAGGAATTGAAAGTGATATGTACTTAAGATATGATAAGATCTAAATGGTGTATTTGTTTGGGTTAGCCTTTTGTATATTATAGTTTGGCAATAAAGGATTATTTCCTATGTTAATATTATCTAAAAATTTTATTTATTTATGTATTATTTTGTTTTAACTAGATACAAAGCTAAAGTATTGTCGTAAAGCATCGGATAAGGCTTCAGGTAGTGAGCTTACGTCACGGACAATCATAAAGTACTGGAAGGGGAAAGTCTCTAAATAAGGCTTCATTTGAATACCATACTTGCCATCCTTTATCGTATAAGTGATATTTGTCATGTTCAGGATCGAGTCTTTTTCCGGCTTGTTGTCAACAACAATAAATATAATCATAATACGCTGTTCAAGTGCACTGCGTACTAATGCTCTTAGTGTTTCGTGGTCTTCACAGATACCATCAGAAATAATAAGTTGAAGTTGCCAGAGTTCAGCAGCACCAGAGCCTGAAGAATATTTGGCATTTTCAAATAGACCAAGGGAAGTTTCAATCAGGTTTTTAACATACGTCTTTTGTTGAGCAAAGGTGAATTGTTGAATAACATTTGCACCAGATTCACTTGTAAAAGGTTGACCAAATGGATGCAAAAGACGCACGCGTTCACCAAAGGACGAGATTGAGATATCGCCTACTTCTAGTTGTGATAGAGCCTTCGATATAAGAGCCAGCGTTTCATAAGCCAGTTGTACAGAACGGGATTCAGACATTGATTTAGAGTCATCCACGGAAATCATGACTTGATACTGTCGTTTGCTTAGCTTTGTACGGCGTAACCAAATCTTATCTTTCTTGAACTGACTTGCAATATAAGGAATGATCTTCTTCATGTTCAATCGTTTTCCTGTGCGATAGTCACCCTTAAGCTTAGTGGCTAAGGTAGGTTCTAAAATTAAACGAAGTTGTTCACAAAGTCCCATTGCCAAGTCATGTGTCAAATTCTCATATCCTTGCCATAGTTCTCTTGCTTTATTAATATCTCTTCCTTCTTCGCGCCATTCAGATACTTGAGCTTCCAGTTCATCTCGCATATGTTCAATATCTTGCTTTTCAAGAGGCTCTCGTGAAACAACAGATTCATCTACAGTTAAAATCTCAGTTTCATCGACAATCTGATTCTCTGGCAACCTCTTGCTCAAAATGGCTCCCTGTCGATCAGCAGCGCCTGCCATATCCAAGGTCTCACGCGGCAATGGCATAGTGTCAATAGATTCTTCTTGTTGGTCAACTTCCATTTCTCCAGAAACACCTGCGTCATCTTCTTGTTCTTCGTCCATTGCAGCTGCTTTCAGGTCTTGTATTTGGTCTGGCTGTGCGTTGCCCATGGTTTGCATATCATGAGCTTCTTCGTCATTCTTGACATATTCGAATGTATCCTTATCATTCACCTGAGCATTTTCAGTATCTTCATCTTCAGTCTTCATAACCTCGTCGTTTTCTTCTTCTTCAGTACCAGCTTCTTCAACGTTCTCAAGTCTTCTTCTCCACTTTTCTAAAGCATCTCCTAAACTTCGCTGAGGGTTGGACTGAGCTTCATTTGCTTCAGATTCTTCAGCATTATCTTCAGTTTCATCTTCTTCATTATTAACATCATTAGAGCCACTTCCAGACTTTCCTTTGCTTTCCTTCTTTTCAGTATTGTCATCTTCGCCTTGTGCTGTATCAGCCAAATCTTCCTCTCCATCGTTCTTACCAGAAGTGCTCTTGCTTTGCTTGCCTGCTTGACCCTGAACACCAAATTGATTATCAGCTGTGGCATCACTATTAGGCTGCTCACGGTTTTGAGCCGTGCTTTCAGTTTGCTCGCTCTCTTCCTCTTCTTCAATCTGAGCATTACTAGTCTTTGAGTTTTCTTGATCCATTTGTTCATTGTCAGGCAGTGCTTCATCTTCTTCACCTTCTTTCTTTTCTTCAGTATGATCCATTTGATCACCATCAGGCATATTCTCATTTTCTTCCCCTTCTTTTCCTTCATCAACATGATCTAAAGCGTCATGGAAGGCTTCACCTTCTTCTTCTTCAGGCAACTGCTCTTGATTAGGTAGCTCATCAATGTCCATTGGATCATTCATTCCCATGTCATCTTCACCACCCTCCTCTTGATCTTCATCATCTCCTTCCATATTCAAATCTTCAGGAAGGTCAAGTGTCTCGGCTTCAGGGATTTCAGCGTTCAATTGCTCTCCTGGTCGATTCTCAACGTCGTCTTCATCCTCACCTTCAGCTTCTCTTTCTTCATCAGCATCCCCTTCGTCACCTTCGTCACCTTGCTCTTCATTGTTGTCCTGTTCTTGTTGTTGGTCGTCTTGATTCTCAGGAGCCTCGGATTTTTCGTTCTTCGATTCAGACTGTTCTTCACTCTCTTCCTTGGCAACTATATCTGAGTCCTTCTGCGTCTCTTGTTTTCCTTGATCATCAACCGTTTTGTCGCTTTCGTTCAAGTTTTCGTCCTGCTCATCACCCCACATTTTATCATCTACGGCATCAGGGTCCATATCATCTACATCGCCAATTTGCTCATCAGGTTCTTCTTCCTCGTCTTCAGAACTTTCTGACTCTTCATTATCTTGTTCCTCTTGTTCCACATCTTCAAGGTTGCCGTCAAAGTCATTCTCCATATCCATACCTTCCTTTTCTTCTTTTGTATCTTGTTTATCGTCATTTGAGCGCTCCTCGTTCTGCGTTCCGAGCACTTGCTCTTCATCTTCGATCTCATGACTGACATCTTTGGTGCCTTCTCCCTCGCCAATACCTGTTCCTGCTTGTGTACCTTCAGCGTCGCCTTCCTCGGCATCTTCAGCTCCTTCAGGCATACAGAAACCCTTTGTGATGATAATACTGAATGTATTTACAAGACAATAGGTGAATTTAGCCATAGACTTGTGATGAATAAGCATTTTGGCTAAGGTATGTTGAACCACAAGCATATACTGTTGAAGGAATGGATACACTTCTTGTAACAATCTAGAGATTTCACAAACAACATCATCGTCTTGTTTGTGGCTGACCAAAACATGCGCTGTTGTCAATAGCTCGACACAACGTCTAGATGCAGATTCTAAGTGAAGAGCACTAACAAGAATAGCCTGTTTTTCACTCTGGAAACAGATATAGTTTTGTGGCATATTTTCATTATCGTCATCCTCTTCTGATTTAGCAGGATTTACTGTAGAGTTGGCCTTCTTGAGATCTTGAATGGATATCAAGACCGCATCAATCAAGGCATGAACTCGTTCACGCAAGTCAGTCATTGTTAACTCTGCATTGGCAGCTTTTCCAGAATCAACCATAGCAGCAGTAGCTCTCGCATTAGAGATAAACTGAATGATGGAATAAAGAGTATGACTTGACTGAGGTAAAGCTTGCGACGTGCTGGCAAGCACGGTTTCAATAGGATCCAACTTGTTCATATTGTCCTTTATCAGTTGATCAATATCGATAGACATCAACGAAAAGTCAAGGGACGTAGCAGATCTAGGATAAAGGTAGCGTTGTACGAACCAATAGTCCACCGTTCTTTGAACCTTTTGAACATCAGCACATGCAGTTTGCAAATCCTTTAATACACCTTGAGTTGCAGAACTTGCTTGAATAGAGACAAGTTCAACAGCTTGCTTCATGAGCAAAGCAAGTTTATCCACATACGCTTTATGATGTATAAATCGATACTCGATATCCCCATCATTAGCAATCAGTTTTCCATTGGTAAAGGCATCGTACAAGGCAGCAAGCTGAACAGAAACACCTTGGAGGATTTGTATACGATTCTCCATTTGAGCAAAGAGATGACGTTCCTTACGCACTAAAAGGAACATGTGCTCAGCAGCACTCATGCTTCGTTCAACCTCAAGCATCGAAAGATCTCTGCTTACATTCGTCGTACTGATCGTTCGTAAATGGGTCAATCTTGCAACACAGCGGTAGTAATAGTCATTTGCTTTGTTCCACTGTTCAATAATATCTTGAGTAGCACCACTGCAAATGGACAAGGGTAGCTTCTGAAGATTATTGGTTGCTTCCAACAATTCTAATTTTGCTGCATTTTGAAGGAAGAGAGCAGTTGAATCAGAGTTACTTTCTCGCATAGTAGTAGCGCGAGATTTCAATCCGAGACGACGAAGTTCCTTCAAAAAGTCAACGAGTGCCTTCTTCTTGAGCTGCTTTTGGTTCATGACGGTTGACTTGTTTTCATCTGTTAATACTGAAGGAGTTTCTTTTTGGAACTGCTTTACTTTGTTGATCATTTCTGTCATAAAGTCCTCAAGAGGAGCTTCATTGGTTTCGGCATCATTGATAAATACATCCTTTTGACAGTAAAGATGCAGTCTATTAAGAGTAACAGGTAGATTTGCCAAATGCTTCTTCACCGGCAAAGATGCAGACCAATCAAAGGAAGTATCAGTCACTTTAATAGGCGTCTCACTAATCCAAAGCTTGGGTTGTGATAATTGATCGATCAAGCCACGGTTGATATCTTTGGCATACCGCTTATCGTCGCCGTACTGATACATTGCATGCTCTCCGTTATAATTGGCTATAACAGTAAGCATAGACGTGTTCAAAACTTCACGGTACTTGCAAATGCACTTGTGAAGCTTTCTGTGTGTCTTGACAGCACTTTGACGAAGGGCATAGATGTTAACATCCTTCCAGGTAGCAATTTTAACAAAGTCCTTCAAGTCTTTTTCAATTGGCTTGCGCATTTGTGTAAGCATAGTATCCACATGCTGTTGGAATTGTGAATAGTATAAATAGACATTACGTAGAATGACTGCTGTCTTTTCAAAGCTCAACTGTTCAGATTCATTGGTCGAGAACTGTGCTTGAAGTTTAGCTTGCTGATAGAATGTGTCTATCATTTGAAGGCGTGGTTGATATTCGGCAATGCTTGATGTTTGCATAAACTGATCCAGGGCACTCAACAATTCATGTGCCGTCTTCTTGCAACTCTCAGATGACTCCGTATCAAATGAGGTGTTATTAATAGTGTCATACAGATGGAACCACCATTTGAAAGCAGCATTTTGATGGTATTGCTCCTGAGCAGCTAAAAGCTTGGGCCAGCAATTAAGTTCGAGTTGTCGCCAGTTAACGATCAGAGCAATCAACTCGTCACGTTGGCTCTTGAGAGAGACATGCTTAGCAGCGTAAGCTTCCCAATCCTCTGACTTTTGTAACAGCAGTTCGATACCAGTCAAGAATTTGGCAACAGGCGACAGAATAGAGAAAGTCAAGATACGATCACAAATGACAAGCAGTTGTTCGAGAATGGCATGTTCTGGCCACTGCTCTGCAAGCTCTAACACGCGTGCCTTAAAGCGATTCACCACAGGCTCTACCTTTTTAGCTTCATGCACATTTTCGCTTTGATAAAAGTCATAAATGTCGTCACTTGTGGTGGCAAAAGAATTCTCGGACTCAAGACGTCTAATTGCCAAATTTGCAACACGAAGATGACCAGCATTACAGATACGGTCGGTGACGTCTGTGAATGGTGATTTAGCCATAGATGCCAGTTGATTGGCAGTAGTATAGGATTGTAAGGCTTCTCTGTTAAAAGGTTTGCCTAAGCGACTACATGCATCGGCCTTGTAACTTGTAAATATCAGCTTGTGAAGATGGCCAATGCGATGAACATCTTCATTGTCAAGCACAGATACTTCTTCAACCTTAAGATGATCAGTTACTTTCTTAGGAGGCGTGTCATCTTCAATAGTGAGATCAGCAAATTCATCATTAAAATCTGCAAAAATATTCTTTAAATCTTCTTCCTCGAGCTCTTCTTCCGTGGGAGGCTCATACTTCTTTGCACGAGTTTTATACAAAGCTTCTTTTTCAGCTTCCAGTTTATTCTTGTACTCTTCTGCTGATTTCCAGACTTGGATGATTTCACTGAATAGCGCGTTCACTGTGACAAGGTCTTCATCCTTTAGATATCCAGCAGTATCAAAAGAGGCTACAGTACGCTGAAGAATAACTATCAGCAAGCGCAAATAGAATGCCCATTTTCTATTTGTTGGTGCTCGTTCAAACACGATGGCCTTGATCTTTGAAAGTGTTTGAGGAGTAGCAAGCATATTCCAGGTCAAACCTTGAAGATGACCAGTGATATCAGGTTCACGAATCAAAAGCTCAATGAATTCAGACAAAAATTCATCAGTAGAGTCTCTACGACCATTAACTGTCAGCATGCGAAGACCATACTTAATATCGTCAACAGCAATGACCAAAGGCTGCAAGATGTCTCTATACAGTGGGAACTTGTCGAAAACTCTGTCAACAAACTGGAGCGCATTTCCTTGTAGGAGAGCTTCGCGTTGTAGAATAGAATCTGTGCAGTGTGTTTCCAATTCATTCAGCAAGTTTTCTACGTTATGTTCAAGCATACTCTTTTGCAAATAGCGAAGGTCAACAAATATTTCGTCAAGCTGTGATTGAGCAGGGCGAAGTGAAAAGACGGTCGACTTCTCTCCAAGTTCATCATTCACCTTCTCTAATGAGCGCTTCTCTTCGTCAATCACAGAGTTTGTGTCATTGCCTGTGTATATCTTTTCAATGTTTTCTCTGACGTTGATATTATTCAATTGCTTCTGTTTCTTTTGCAGTAGCAAGTCGACACGGAGACGGGGCTCAGAAGTAGGATCGACGGGATAGTCAGGGATATATGCAGACAGGAAGGCTAAGCCTAAGAGAACACGAGCTTTGCCACAAGCAGAGAAAAACGTGCGCTTGTCTTCATTTCCTAGGGATTCGACAGTGGCTCGAAGTGCATTAATAGCGCCGATATAGTGCGAATTGAACTCGTATTGTTGAGCAACCTGTGATGCTTCATCAAGTAAGGCAGCCACATCAGCATAATACGATGTTACATCGTTGCCGAAATACAGGTTTGATTGCAATAGTCTTTGCGAAAATTCACCTGCTTTGTTTAGTACAGAAGAAAGTGCTTCATAAGCTGCTTCATCAAGTACTTCAGCAGAGGCATTTAGCAACTGAGTATTAAAAGTGAGTAATTGATTTTTTGTAGCGTCATTTATGCTTAATTTACCTGACGTGTCATTGAGAATAAAGTAGCTACTTCAAGGAGCCTTCTGTCCTTTAACTTCGTATTATTTGACAAGAACTGTTGCAAGCCTTTAAGTTGCTTCAAAGCGCTTTCGAATGCGTCCACAGGCATTTTATCAACAGATCCCAGCATATTCAAACAGATAAATGTCTCTACGCTTTCATATAATGCGAGGGAACCTTCAGTAATTCGAAGATCCTATGGCAAATCATATGAGTTATGCTAAAAATAAAAGAAAATTAACAAATTACCTTCTCAGTATCATTAGGCACAAGTTGGAAGAGATCTTTCTGGAAGACGCTTGAACGCCACAGACGTTGATGATACGTGTAGGCTGCATCTTGAATTAACCCAGGAATTAAAGATGTATTGATTGATTTTCCACAATCCAAGAACCAAATAAGACGCTGATAAGGCACCAAGTCTGTTGGAGGACGTGAAGAGTAATTTATGGCATATTCCTTAAATTTCGACATTTGTTCGAGCAATTGCTTGTCATTCACAGATTCATGTCTATCACAAGAGATAAAGTAAAGCTTTGCCAAAATCTCCATTTCCTCAAGAATGCTGGAATAGTCATGTAAAGGTACCAAGGCGGCATCCCATGAGCTATCCCTTCTGATCGTATCACTTGCTTCAGTAGGCTGTAACTCGCGAGTGATGTATTCAGGGAGGTTACGCAGAGACTTCAAAGTTTGCTCAACAGTTGCAGCATTGTTCACGTCCACTGCATAGAGCGTAGCTATGCCTTCTATCAAAGTTCTCTTTGCTTCTGATTTAGCGTGCAGAACAAGTGATTTTGGCTTGAGTCCTTCTTCTAGGCTGAACCTGTAACAATTCAAGTCATTGCTGATCTTTCGTAAATCGCTCTCAAGCATGTGTAATGGTTCAGAAGATAAAGTAGAGGGATGGAAGTGTCCCCATAAAGCCATCATGGATCTGCTTGTATCAAAATCAAATCCAGACATAATATCTTCAATATGATTGAGAACTGTGTTAAATCCAACGGAAGCCATTTCCTCGGTGGTGATGAGTTCTTTCATGATTCGGATGCTGATCAACAGTTTGTCCAAGCTCAAAGCTTCCATATGTGTAAGAGACCAAGTGTAGTCTCTGACATCTAACACATGATGAACAGCTTCAAAGATTTGCGTGGTGCAATTACGATAGGAGGCTTGATCGATCCAAGATGCCACTGCAGAGTTGATTGCTTCAAAGAAAGGATATAGTCTGGGAACAACTGGATGCAACAACTGGCTTTCACTCAAGCGTCCGACCTGGAAACAATAGGATTGTTGAAGAGCGGTCAAGTTTCCAACCTTGAGCCTCTGTGTTGCAGAACGCATGGTATTGTCAATGTAGTCTTGCTTTAAGAGACGAATCAACATTTTATAAGCTTCACTGATGCACTTCAATTCTTCATGATTGACAGCAACACTTTTGGACTTCAATTGCACATTGGTCAACTCGGTAAACAGTGGATGCTTGATCAAATTCTTCATTAGGTGTCCAATTTTTTCCAGTGCAGCCGACTTTGAAGCAATTGTATGCTGTGACATGTAGCCTAGCCAACGATAACAGAGACCATAGTTTTGAAGGTTCAAGTTCTCCAAGAGATAATCAGCAGCAACGTCGATCTTCTTTTGAGACTCCTCGTCGTCAGTATCCAGTGTCTGAAGTAGATAAACAAAGTAAGCTCCATGTAATGCAATTGTGGCAAGATTAGAGTCATTCTGAAACAACTTTCCGCCGATGAAGAAGGGCGAATTTGTAGGAGAAACCAGCTCTTGTAACAATTCTTGGCTAGCAACATCGTTTTCAAGTAATGCAGCAAGCGCGCTGGGTGCATTTTCGATATCAACAAAGACTTGGAAGAACGAGTCTCGAATAGCACTCTTTAGAGATTGACCGCGTTGAAGACGTTCAGCCATATAAGTGGCAAACATGAGATAATCCCGGACATTTTCTGACTTGGCCAAGTGTTTGCGACTTTGGGTCACCTCGCCTTGAAGTTCATTCAAGAGGGCAGGAATACGGCGACCACGAACACCAAGAGAGTTCACCAGCTTAGTTGCATCCTGATCATTCTTGTTCCAGTTAGAGTCAAGAAGAGCAATTTCGATACCTCTGTTCCTCATTGCACGGGATAATTCGCCGTTTTGAGGATCTACTGTCATAAACATGCGGAAGTTAGGGTGAGGCTTGATCACCTTCACTGTGCCATCGACAAGACCACGTTCATTCACCATCAAGACACCGTCATTTTCAAACAGAGGATTTAAACGATCCAATACGGAAGGGTTACAAAGATTGGCATTGTCAATCAAAAGCCAGTGACCATGTTCAAGAGCATTGATTAAAAGACCATCAATCCATTCAAATTTACCAGCAACCGTATCTTTTTCGAGCTCCTGAAGGTTATCGACAGCAGTATTCAAGCTCGAAATGGAGTTGTGCAACTCTTGATCCACTGCAGATGCAGACTTTAAGTAGGATACCACATTAGAAACAAGTGCATAATCCAACTTTGCAGATTCTGCATCAGATGAAGCAAGTTTCATTTGCTGCTTGCTGTTTAGGACATACATGGCATCATTTAGCTGACGGATGAGTTGAAGAGCCGTGCTATAGTTTTCATTATCTGTGGGAAGAGTAGCAGCATAAAGAAGTAAACTCTTTGAAGCAGTACTGACGGAAACATGAAGCATATCCATAACCACTTGTCTATGACGGTTCAAATCGACTTGCTCAAAGCCACCAAGTAACTCCATCGTATCAACGCTGCTATTCATGGCAAATTCCTGCAAGACGTTTCCAGTCATTTTGCTTAGTAATCGAACAAGCGAAGTTTTACCAGACGCAGATGGGCCTGTTAAGATAGCCATCCAGCCTGATTCAACACATTTCATCAAAGATTGAAGAGATGGTAGGAAAGACTGAAGGATATGATTGTCGCGATCAAACATATCAGGCATCTTTGCAGCTTGCTTTCGTGCCAAACGAGAGTGCCCAACAGTGAAATTGTCGACTGTAACTTCATACAATGGATGCTCGGGTCGATCATATTTGACGTTAAAGGCGGTTTCAAACAGTTGAATCACTTTGATGCGATCATCAGCAGAACGCATACGTTGCATATAAATGATGTCCAAGTATTCAGCAGGGTCAGAGGTGTGATTCTGCCTCATTAACTCTAACCAACGGAAGACATCACGTAAATTAAATTCCCAAGGACTTCCTTTACGACCAAAGGTACAACGAATCATTGTTTCTTCATACATTCTGTTGTTAAATTCAATCATTTTGGCCAGCATGTGAGGTTCAAACTCGGGGAACAGGTGAGAGCAGATAAACAAGAGATCCTCTGGGCTCAGCTGTTCAACATAAACTTGCGTAAAACGATTGATAAATGACTTGGGCAAACCTTTACGACCACCGCCTTGTTGAAGAGGGTTCTGGGCGCCAAATACACGGAACTCTTTGTCACAAAAGAATTCTCTGTCAAGTTCTGGAATGTACACAGCTCCACGATGATCCAAGCAAGAATTGAGACCTTCCAATACGGATTGCGACGCCAAGTTCAACTCATCGAGTAATACCCAGTCACCAGCCTTCATTGCTTGCAAAAAGGGAGCATCTCTCCAAGCAAACTCACCACTGTTTCCACCTTCAACAGGAAGATCAGAACCAAAGAGGTCCATTAAATCAGTTTGTTCAGACAAGTTGATTCGTACTAAATTATGACCAGAGGCAGCAGCCAATGCAGAAATTAAACTTGTTTTACCAACACCAGGACTGCCTTCGAGCAAGATTGGCTTTCGTAACTGCATTGCACGAACAACACGCATAGCGTTGTCAGATGTGGTGGGAGCCGACAAAGTAAACTTCACATTGGCCTTGGACAACTTACCACGAGGGATTTCAAAAGGACCGATAGCCAATTTGTTATCACTGATCACTATCGTATCCCTTGACTCGCCCAGGACTTCCTGTTCTGTTGCATTAGGCTTTTCAGAGAGATGTCGAAGACATTTAAGACGGAATTCTTTCAAGGTCGAACCGGTCATAAAGGAGCTTGATGAGCCATGAGAGCCTAATCCATCAAGTAAAACAATACATGCACCATGAGCAAAGCTAAGTTCTGGATTGAGACCAAAGTCGACTGCAGTATTCATAAATTTGACCCATGAAAGAATATCACGGAGGGAGATGACAGTACGGCTCTGACCAAGGGCTTGAGAATACCACGAGATGAAGTCGAGCATTCTCTCACTGTATCCTTTTAATGTAGCGTGTTTCATCTGTTCATCAATAATACTGATCAAGTCTTCTCTGTCAGTGACGGATGGAACCCATATTTCCGTAAAACGATTTCTCAAGGCAGGAGAAAGTTCCTTCTTACCATAATCACCACCGGGATTCATGGTAGCTAAAAATTTGAATCCAGGAGCAGCATAGAGTTCTTCTACTTGCTTTCCACCTTTTTCGGCAAGAACTAAAAGACGACTGGGTTCAAGAACAGAATTCAATCTTTCCAGCACAGAGTCATCAGCCAAAGATATTTCATCGAGCAAGAATAAGTGTCCATCCTTCATAGATTGCACTAGAGGACCGTCGTGCCATTCGAACAGATGCTTTGGCTTATCCATGTCTTCATCTTCATCCTGACCACGAACAGGTCGTTGTCCACCAAGCAAGTCACTTGTTTCAGTGTTTTGGTGGCAATTGACGATATGAAGTTCGCGACCATAGGTTTCTGCCAACATCTGACAAACAGTGGTTTTACCACAGCCCGTATCACCCACAAGCAAGACAGGTTCATCATATCGAAGACAGCGAGCAACAAGACTAAATAAGCGACGCATAGCTTTTGTCCACACAAGGTTGTTGTCTTCACCTGCCTTTGCGGAACGTTCCTTGAGCAAACGATCATACGTCTGGAACTCTTCAAGTCTGTTACAGTCATACATTTCATTTTCATCAAGCTTGACTTTCATCACTTGCTCAAGTACTTGTTTAACAACCTTCTTTTCCTCATCGCGACGGCATCTTTCAGCTAGCAACATGTATCCATTCTCTGCAAGCTCTTGATACCCTTGAGGGTCACGGCCAGCCCAACGAAACAGATCACGGAGAGTAATGAAGCCGTGCTTCTGTTCAAAGATACGTGTGCTTTGTCGATGTGCCATCAAGTCCTTATAGACCTTGACCAACTTTTTACAGTACGACGGTGCAATTTTGCAGCGATTGGAAAGAATCGTTTCAAGTTCATCCTCGGGTATATCATCAAAGTGAAGTTCAAGGAAACGGTTACGGAAAGCGCGTGATAATGCTTTACGACCACCATAGAGGCCAGCTGGATTCTGTGTGGCAAATAGCATAAAGTGGGGATGAGGTTTCACGATCTCTTGAGTTTCGGGTATCAAAAGCTCTCTATTGTCATCAAGCAAACGATTCAATGCTTCCAATACGTCAGAGGGAGCCAAGTTAAGTTCATCAAGAACGATCCAATATCCATTGCGAAGAGCTTCAACCAGAACACCTTCTTGGAATACTAGCTTGCCTTCATTATTAGAGACGTAGGTACCAAGATATTCTTGAAGGTCAGTGTGTTCGTGATTATTGATACGCACGAATCGATGACCAGTCTTCTTTGCCATATACTCAACCATCGATGTCTTACCAGCTGATGTAGGACCTTGAATCAATACTGGGAATTTTCTAGACATGATAACACGAGCAAGGTTATAGAGTTTGGTCTCGATGGAATTTGTCAGGATATAACGAGGATCATCTTCAGGAGGGAATTGACCCTGTTCTAACCAGAAATGACCAAATTGAATATAGTTTTCAGCAGGCTGACGAGGTATTCTTGTAATTAATTGTTGAGGATTTTGTATATTTCGTAATATGGTCTTGTAGATCAGGTCATGCATGACAGTCTCACTTTCTTTATCAAGCTGGGTCAAGAAAGTCATACAAAAGCCTTCATAAAGTGAACGTCTCAAGCCATAGGTTGGTGAAATTTGGACAACATAGGTCAAAGCTCTGGCTAACGTTCTCATACTAAAGTGCGGTCGCTGGTTCGCTCCATCCACCAATTTGTGCTCATTTGCCAATTTTTTAGCGCTTGTGTAAAAGTCGGCAACATCTTCAAAACATCTTTCGTCACCAGCAGCAATGCCATAGAGATACTGTTTCACAATTTGTAATAGATCATCATAGCGGTTGTCAGGAGGATGCACATAGAATTCGGTAAATCTATTACGAAGGCCAGGAGGTAAATCACGTTTACCAACATCCGTGGCAGGATTCATACATGCAAACAAACGGAAGTTGGGATGACGCTTAATAGGCTCTACATCACCCTTTTCTGTCAACAATAATGAACCATTCACGTCTTGCAGTAGACCAGACAAGCATTCAAGTGTCTCGGTAGTGGCTAAATTGATTTCGTCCAACAGAATCCAATCACCTTGACGAACAGCCTTCACAAGCGAGCCTTCCATGAAACTAAATACAAACTTGTTTTGAGATTGCACTTGTTGAACTTCAAACTCTTCAACATGCTTTGTAAATGTCTTCCATGCGTTTCGAAGTTGAGGAGAAGAGGTCTTTTTGTTTTCTACGTTTTGTTCGGCTTCGAACTTTTGCTGTGACATTTTAATCGCTTGCTTAAGTAAAGCAACAAAGTTTGTCCATTTTTGATGAATAAACATCTTACGAACCATATCCAAAAACTTGATATTCTTCTTGACGGAAAATGTCTTTTCAAACAAACGTTCAAACTCGTCATTTAAAGGAATAGCTAATACTTTTCCATCTACAGGCTTAAATCCACCCAATAGATCCGAACTATCTGATTGCTGTGACAGATTGACGACGATCAAGTTTTGATGGATCATGTCTGCTAAATGTTGGACAACTGTTGTCTTACCAGTACCTGTTTCACCCACCAACAAGACAGGTTCGTTCAAGTGAATAGAAACTGCAATCTTTTCCATTAAACGTAAGGCATGACCTGTTGTCGCAAATGGACGCTGTTTTTCTCTCTTGATTAAACCAGCCTTTTTCTTTTGTTTTCCACTTGCAGCAATAGATGAAAGGTTCACACGACCGATACGAACATGAGTGTCATTTACATCAAGTACTGGCTTATACTGATCAACGTAGTTACGCACCAACTCTTGAGATATCTGCAGGGGTTTGCCGATGGTTTGAAGTACAGTCATCCATATGTTATAGTCGGGTATCATTCCACAAAAGCAGTCATTTGCTTCATTGAATAGATCTTGACGAAGTGTAAGATCCATGCCCACTTCAGATGAATCATTTAGTTTTTCGCCTAATAAAAGATCAACGCGATGACACCATTTCATAAGATCTCTCGTTGAAAGGAAACGACCCATAGAAGAAGAAGATAAAGAAAGGCTGGTATCTTCATAAAGGTCGACTACAGTTTGAAATAAGTTCATCGCATGTGAAGCAAAATCGTTGATATGCGTAAACTTTTGACGAATCACTAGTTCCAATTCTTCATGAGATAAAGGTTCAACATGCACTCTTGTCCACAAGTTGGCGCCTGTCATCATACTCGCGCCTCTAGAAGTGACCCCCTTTCCAGATCGAGATGGTAAAAATGATCTCGTACCAAACATTTGGAATCCTTCCTTTGCCTTGATTTTCTCGCCTCTTGAAGGAATAAATAGATGTCCAGTTTCCAAAAGTGGTAAAAGCACGGATAGTACCTCTGCTGGTGCCAAATCAATATCCTCAATAAGCACCCATCTGCCTTCAAGTACTGCAGTTGTTAAAACACCGGCTTGCCATCGGAAGGAGCCAGGTGTGGAGGTAGATACATATGTTCCCAATAGTACTTTTGGGTCTGTTTGGTCTCCTAAATGAATCTTTACTAGCTCTGCACCTCTTCCAGTTCTCCATGCAAGTTCTTCTACAAGGCACGTTTTTCCTGCTCCAGTCACGCCTTCCAGAAGTGTAGGTGCTCCAATAGATAATGCAAGGCTGATTGCGTGTAAATTTTTTGAGGTCGTCTTTGTTAAGACTAGTTCGGGGTTATAGCTACTTCTATCGCTTTCTTTCTCGACGCGCTTTGTGAGCAAGACACCACAAAGGTTACAAGTCGATGGACATAAATCACTGTCCTCTAATTGGCGTTGTTGTACATCAAAGTTATTGGTTAGATATGCTATTTGATTGTCTGCAAGTCTTTGTTGTTCCCATAAACTAATAATAATGTTACTAACCTGTGCTTGATCTAACTATTTTAATCACTTACTCTAAGAATCTAATGTCAACACGACTGCCTTCAATGGTCATATAAATAGGCTCATCAGATTCATCCAAGGGTTTGCCGACAATAGAAGATAAAAGACTGTTTTGTTGCGAATCACTTAGGTTGTATACTTTGCAGAGACACAGGGTTGTGATATAACGAACACATGTATCAGGGTATTTAAGCAATTGAACTACTGGTCCCCAATTCCAAATGGGTGAAAATGTAACTGCTGAAAAAGAAAGCAAGCGATATGTTGTAAGCAGTAAATCATGTAAATTATCTATTGATGAAGAGGACGTCTAATAGCATATCATTAGCATATGTAGGCGTGGTAATTATATCCAACTTACAGAAGTATCCATACTATCAACATTGCTATAGTGATCTAATCGTTCGAATAAAGAAGTTGAATGAGTGAAATATAACACAGCCAAGCTATACATATACAATAGGTTAGATATGTAAGATGTCATGTAGGCGACTTACTTTTTAACTTGAGGCGCAATAGGCAGTATCACACTGAAGGCCTTTGCTATGAGTTCGGTCGTATGTACAGTAGTATGCGTTTTTGATAAGGCTGTTTCTATCAACGTTGTGAATCCAGGCATGGTCCAACGTCCGATCAAGTCAATTACAATAGGACGAAATAAGCGAACAACAGTGAGAGTCCAACTGGGGTTGATCATGGCTCTTGATACTAAATCAAGTAGATTTGACCGAGAAATAGAGTTTGGGTTCTTTAATACTTCATGATCGATGATTGCGTCAAGGGCAGATTCTTCCTGTTCTATAACATATGCTGATAATTGCTGAACAGCTGCAAGGAAATCAAAGGAAAGTGGATCAAAAATACTGTCTTCAGTTGCTTCTACCATTTAAACGATCCAATCTATAATAAAGATCAACAAAAACACAATAGCTTGGAAGCTCTCTTTATAAAAAAAATTGTGACAGCTGAAAGTGAGAGGAAGCGACTTTTAGCGCAGACTGCATTTATACCTCCGCTAGTCAAAAGCGTGCTCTTCCTCCCCTTTGTTGTAATACTTGTTTTCACTCTTGAAATTCAAGACATCATATAAACTGTTTTATCTTTTATGAAAGCTTGAATTACTGAAATGACATACTAAGATAAAGCCTTCTTTTCCAGCCACATCACGTAATATGATCATTTTACATTGTATAAACACAGTTGCTAGTGTCTTTTAGCAGTAATGATGCAAAGTTATTAAAACATATCATATATAAACTGATAAAGAGAGAGATTATTACATATAAAATCAAATATTAACCGCTCATAATTATAATATTCATGCCTCACTGTTGTATTATCTTCAATTTGGTAAGAAATTAGAGGGGTTGCCTTTTTTAGAAAACAAACTTTCGATAGCGGGAATAAGCCATGTTCCACTTGTTTCCACCTAATCTGCAAAAAAATTGATGAATAGATTACAAAAATGCTTCTTGTTAAACCTTTTGTTTATTCTTTCAATAACAGCATTTAACATAAAAGAAGCACTTTTCGGGAATAGCAAAACACAAGATATAAAGCAACAAAGCACGTTTGGTGTTCCAGAGACCACATCAAAGTCAAATCGTCCAGGTAAATAAAGGCTCATTATTTTATGCACACACAGAAAGTAGAATATTAGTTGATAGATATGCCATGTAAAGACTATATCTGTAAAGATACCGAAGCCTGTGTTAGTTCTCCTGTGGAGTGTCCTTGTCGGCTGACGATGAATAAAAAGTGTATGATAGGTGAATGGTATACCTGTGTCAGAGGTGATTTATCGTGTTCTGATCTAGACGAAGTTTAATCAGTGATAAATTGGTGAATATAAATAAAAAGCTTCATTTTTAAAACTGGTCTTTTCTTAAGGCATAACTCTTTTTTCGTACGATGCCAGTTAATTATAAGAAACTAGCACTTTATAAAACAGAACAGTGTAGAAATTGGAATGAGACAGGCTTTTGTAGGTAAGATAAAGAGTTTTGTCTACTAAAGTGAACTAGACAAAACAGTGTAGATACGGAGAGCGTTGTCGCTATGCACATGGTCCAGACGAATTACGCAATATCTCCCGCCCGAGTCAATATAAGACAAAGGCTTGTAGATCGTATTATAAAGAAGGCGCTTGTCCTTATGGCGTGCGATGCACTTTCAAACACTTGAGTGATGTACATCAACAGTTTTCTTTAACTAGATTTTTCGATGAAGGAATGGATATGACGATGTATAATCAAGTATGGACCTCTGCCCTTAACACAACTCTATCTCAAGTTGATCAATCAGAGACAGAAGAAGATACTGATGGTCAATATTTCACGAGTGAACATTTAATTTATTATTTAAAAGATATTCTCTAAAATAAAATACATCTATTTCAATACAACGCTCTCTCTCTTTTGCATCCTAATCACTATCTTCGTCTTCTAAACTGTCATCTTGATCAGTCTCTGATTCTTCCAGGGCCACAGATGACTTTCGAGACTTTATTCTTTCCAAAACAGCCTCAACCTTTGAAGGACGAGGATTGAGCATCTTTGCAGTTGTCGCGTTCTTTTCTTCTAAATCTTGTTTGTTTTCAAAATCTCTGCGACCATAGAAAGATCCCATCATATCAATTGAAGTCTTGGCTTGACTAGGTGTGGCAATTTCATGTGGCTCAATTGGCAATTGAATACGTCCTTCTTCTTGATCAATGGTAACCTTATTGGTTTTAGTAAAGGCAAATGGCAATGGAATTTCTTTGATCGCTCGGAAGTTGCCACAGTTATTTATATGCTATAAGTAAGAAACAGTGAGCAGAGAGTAAAAAAAAGTTTGTATGATGTATGTATATTGTTACCAAAATTACCAGATACCTATCCTTGGGATCAATGTCAAATACAGAGGAAAAAAAAAAAAAAAATAAAAATAAAATAAAATCAAAACTAAAAAAACTAAAAAAAAAAAAAAAAAACTAAAGACAAGACTTACCTCATTTTCAAGACGGAAAAAGTTCCACTGGAAACGACGGTATACTTCTAGGGCTGCCACGATAAAGCTGGTCATGTCATTGGAGAGATTCAAGTTTAATGTATTAAGAATCCAACCAAATCGTAGCATGATGTTGAGAGGAGTGGCTACATAATATGTCTAAATCATGTTAATTGTTTTCCCGTAGAGATTAGTCCTCTTTATTACCCATCTATAAAACACCAAATCGTCTCGAAGCAAAAAATGATGACTGTTCAGCTGCAGAATACCCCAATCCATCTTGATATCCCAAGCAGATGTATAACTAGAGTTAATAATCAAACTTATGATCCAGGCTACCTTTAGGGCTGTACTGTCTAATAAAAGGATTTAGTTTTCAAATATTGCCTCTTTTTTTTTCTCCTTTAAAATGTACCTATCATTCGCTTGTAACCATTCAGTAAAGCAGCAGCAATGCTCGTAATATATTTCAATGCATTCAGTAGATGCACCTTTTCACCAGAATCTTTGTAACGACGAAGGCACTGCAAGAAACGCCACCAAGGAGGTAATGAAGCTACAATGGGGGTGAACCAAAACAATTTAACTTGACAGTTGGCACTTAGACTACTCCATTGGTAAGCATAAGCACAAAAGAAATATGTCAGAGTCCAAAAAGAGTACGAGAGACTGTTGAGTTCATCTGCAATAAAGAAATCACGAAATTCTATAGGCAAGAAGTAGCTAAGGAAGATACGTCCTAGGGTTGCCCAGAACCATTTTCTGGAAGAATAGTAAAAGACAGGAAAAGGACATGCCATGATACCCAAGGCTACAGAAAAGAAAACGAGAGGGCATAACTGGGATGGAATCACCGGAATAAGGGCTTGAGAAAAATCAACATACATTGTTATTGAGAGTAGTAGTAGCAGTAATAGCGGTAACTACGACTGGGAGTTAGGCTTTGTTTAGAAACAGCTTTTCTTTAATTACCTCAGCAAACTGATGATAGTCAAGATTGTCTCTTGGATTAAATTCAAAGATAAACTTGTAGTTGATATGACATCGTGTCCAAACAAGTGCGTTTACCGAAAACCCCACACAGAATATGATGGGAAGAAAGAAGCAAGCATACATTTGCAGGCTAAAATACATGTTGGGTAACTGTTCACGGACTGCAGGGTCTAGAGCAAGTTGGATCACTCTTGCAAAAAACGCTAATGCCAACCCAAGATAAAACCCTGTTCTCCATGAAACGGGTGTGTAGTGCTAATGAAAGAAGTATTAGACTATTACATGAATAAGTAAATCGTCTTACATCATCTCTTTCTGGTAATCTCAATTGGTTCATTCCTTTTCTTCGATGACCACCGGCAAATTCTTTAATATACAAGCCCTATTATCATTTGAGTACCTGTGATCATTGTATCCTATGTATCATACCTCTGTACCATCAAGCAGGTCATCAATTTTGCGTGATCTTATCCAATGGTACTGGTTTAGCTTTTGAAAATACAAGGTACTCGCTTTCCAGCCTGCAGTCTGATATCCCACTGTGTGTTAATAAATGCATTATCTATTGATAACTACTATACTTTACTTTGTCAAACTTTTTCAAGATTTTATGAAATCCTGTCTCGTTTAATATCTAAGAATTAACCAGGTTAGATTAGATAAGATGTGTCCATTAGTCATTTTACTTTGAATGATTTCAACAGCTCCAAGCTACGATAATATTCCGTTATCGCCATCTTTAATCTGCTCCTAGCTACCTAAAAATGACCATCAGCAAGTAGACATGACGTATTTTGTTATCCACATACATTGTAGCTCACATGTTGATCGTTGGTATACTTGACACTGTCAGGTAAATTAGATATCTCTGTCAAGGCTGAATCTACAGAATCACTTCTTCCGAACCACTCTCCAAAGTGTAAACCTCGATCATTCGAGTCATGGTTACCTGGTGACTGTTATATAATAAATAAGTAATCATAGCTTCATATGTCTTCGTTCTTACGTTAGTCTTTGATAATTTAGAAGCAAAGCTTTTGACAATTTTCACTTGAATCTCTATTGCTTCATACTTTGCTTCTGCTTCTTTTTCTTTACTATCGTAAAATTTGGATATCGTTTCCAAGTCTTGATCGAGCATTACGAAAAAGTATTGTTCGGGCTCACTCGCATGCTTTATTGCTTCTTCTAAAATAGATGCTACTTGCAGGTTATTCACTATTGATAGAGCAAATCAGATACATGTAAAAAGAGAAAGAATAGGGGGGTACCTTGCACGGCGGATCGACTGACTCGACCTAGTTCTGTTTCTTGTCTATTGTTTAGTCTCTTGGAAAGCCTATCAAGCCATCTGCTTGACGCAAAAGGCAAACTTCTGGCCTGTCCGCCTGTTGAACGATTATCTAGAGTAGAAGACTGAGTTCTGGCTGGAGCAGTGTATTTCCTTGGTGATGACTGAATCTCGGGATCAATATTCTCCAAAGCACTAATGACAAGTTCCAACCTGCAATCTTCCTTTTCTTCGTTTTGTCTCCTGTACTATTAATATATTATTAAAAGAGTAAAAACCCGATAACAGATAACTTACTTTTTCAATTGCTTTGAGTCTCTTTTTTAAAGCCTTATAGTTTATATAAGCCTTTCTCCACTCAGGAACACTCTGAGACTCGAGATATTTAGCAAACTTCATCTATGTGTTGCCAAGTGACAGATAGGTATGTTTCGTTGTTATGCAAAATAAAAAGAGAGAGTGTTATCTAATTCCGGTGTATGTCCGGTCATTATGGTGGCTTCGCACTACGTAATGTGAAAGATGTCGATCTCAGACCAACATTTATGCTTTATTATTATTGAATACAAGTGAGACCTTTGAGCCCATTATTTTTAATTTTTAGAGAGACGGGGGGCCTTGGCGACTGGCTAATGAGCCATGGTTCAAACATTTGACTTTTTCCGTGGCATGAGGGGGTGTGATCAGAGAAAAGATCTACATGCTGTTTACCAAGAGGATGAGGAAGGCTTGTCAGGAAATGTCTTTCTCAAAACAAAGTATATCTGCCAAGAGAATATCACCTCAGCATATTCAACAATGCTGAGCACATATTCTGAAAGCTACCTGAACGTCTTTGCGTGTTTTATACTTGGGAAGAAAAAATGACATCAAGTTATTTAATTGTTTCTCTTTGTGAAAGGAGCCTATTTTGTGTTATATTACGACCAAAATACTCAATTATCGCATATTACAGATCAAAGGCTTCACAGAGACAAAAGAGACGTAGTGAATTTGGTTACTAGACCATTTAAAGACCAAAGACACTGTCAGCAAATAAAATTTAAAGGAATTATAGAAACTGACGGAATGGAAGTGTTCATTTGAGAGCCAAGCTCTGAAAAAATGATGTTTTTGCTCATATTAAGAGCCTTAACTCTGATGATATTATGATGGCAGCTTAAAAGTGCGTCCTGGTTGACACTGGAAAATGAGATGTCATGTGGTATATACATGAACCGAACAAAAGGATATCATCAGATACAGCGGTCATACTAATACTGTATTTTTATAAAATATTGTCGTAAAATAAAAAAAAATATTTTCGTAAAAAGGCGACAAAGAAAAATACGTTTGAATAAAACGACATTATATCAAGAGAGAGAGAGATAATGAGTATATGTAGAAAAAGAGAGAAAGAGTATGTTAGTATTAGAACATATATCCTAATATTAGTTTTACTTACCACCAAGGTGCATTCTGGGGAGGGTAGCGATAACTACCCAGGAAAGCTTAAACAAAAAAAAAAAAGAACGGAGGACAGAGAGAACCCAGGGCGCCAGAAGAGACTATTGGGGAACGTTCCAGATACACGCCAGAGAGCAAAGAGGGCGGGACAAGCGAGTCAGAGCAAGGACCATGAGGACAGACTAGTTTTGATTGGTGAATCTTTGAACACTCAGAGGGACACTTGATAACTGCTGTAAAGAAGCAAAAAAAGGACTCGATTAAAATGGGTTTTTATATGTTTTTCTTTTTCAAATAGGGTATCTAGGACAAAGAAATCATGTCAAATAGAAGCAATCTGCTTCGTGACCATTCAAGAATATACATTGCCAAATATGGCTACATGTTCTTCTAATTTCATGGAAAAACCGAATAAAGAATTTAAACTTTTACAAAGAGACTAAAGAGGGCTATTTCTAATATTAGGTTAGTTTCAGCTCCAAGACAGCCCACCTGCTAATATTACTGTCAAATGAGATAGTGAGCCATATTCTTTTTGTATTTGCTATTACTCTGACAACATTACAACGGTTTCAATACGACATCTCAATTTGGAAATACAGTATCTCCATGGATGTCAAGGCTGGCACTACGAAAATATTCTTGGTAACGGCGAATTTACATTTCATATAACATGAATTTTGTTCTCACCATTGGGTGCATTTATTTTCGATCACAGGCGAATTTACTTTCCGGAAAGACTGTATAGTCATTTATTCCTGTCTTTGAAGATCAACTTCTTTTTTGTCATGAATCTCTTTTCTCTGTTCATAGAATGATTACAAAAGGACTTATTCCAATTGGTTGTATTCTTATGCTTCCGAGGCGAAATTATTTGCTCGACAATGCCACATGCGATGAGACGGGACGTGGAGATGTTGCCGCTTCTTTTATACGTCCTTTTATTCGAGCATTATTCTCCTATGGTGACGATGAGAAGTTCGAACACATTGCCAGATAATGGCGCCGGTGTAAAGAGACAGCTTAACTATGAAATTATGATGCATAAAGGTTACCAGCCTTCCTACAGGACTTGCTTTGGTGAAATAAAAGGGAAAGGCGCACAACACACACCTTCCATTATGGATTTCTATCGTTTGGGTGTATTTGCAAAATTAGTATTTGGATAAGGAAGCCTTTTGGAAATAAAATGTGTACAGTGAAGCTTGCCGTGGCAACAACATCATAAACTTAAACACTAGCAGTTGCTGAGATCTTTTTTTTTTTTTCATTTATATTAGTTTATAGTTCACCCTGTTGCATTACAACCACAATCGCAAGGGGCAGCGCTTCCGAAGTAGTAAAAGAGAGCCATCGAAGTAACTTTATAAATATTGTGATAAGCTAAACCCTACCTTCTGAGAGAAAGGCTACCCACCTCTTCAAGCATCATAAAGGTTAATATCAGAACTGGGGCAAACCAGAAAAGCTTGAGAGAGAAAAAAAAAAAAAAAAAGAAAGAGTGAAAAAATGGTCTTCTTTTATACTTTTTTGTTTGTTTACATCTGTGACCTTGAAAAGACTAAAAAGACTGCCCTGAGTCGGAATAGGCTGCATGAATTTTTCTTTATTTGAAAGCATTCTTGTTTTTTGTCTTTCTATTGGATGATATAAAATAGGCTGTTCCCATGTTCCTGAGGATGACCCTTTAAAGCGGTATACTTTGAAAATATAGACGATAAAACTAGCGTATCTAATAGATGCGTATTTACCATGAAAAAAAAAGGTCATTTTTCAAGCTCATGATCGTCAGTAATCAGTGAAAGAAAACGAATAGAATCACAGCATATCAAAATTACAAAACTATAACTGCTAAGAAGTGTGCTATGATCAATATTAGACGTCATGTCATCTAAAGCTATTGTATGTTTGTCCTGAGCGTATATTGATACGAATACACAATTTTCATTACAGGTGTACGTAAGCAGATGAGATATATGATGTTATTATTTAAACTGTAGAGAATAATGACCATTACATAAAATTCGTAATGCTCAACTATTATCCATACAGTTTACATACAACAAAAGTAAATATAGTCTAGCGTTAAAATTTTTCATACACAACAACTTTTAACGATAAGAGGATAAATAAGCTTTATATCTAAGGTACGTCATTCTTTACATGCACATATTTCATCCATGCGAACCTTGCAACATTGTTTGAGAAGAACCTGCTTATGCGCGAAAACATATAGTTAATTAAGGGCAAAAATAACGATGCCTCCTATTGGTTAGTGTCAAATGTCTGCTTAGGAACATGTTCAAGAAAAAAAGGGCAGTAATACTTTCAACCTGTTCACAAAAGGAGGATCTACGCGCACGAGGAACATTAAAGACATCCTGAGAAATTCTTTATGTTGCATGATTAAGGGGTTATTGGATGTTTACTCTATTGTAAGTAATCACTAAATAGTTTTAGTGTAACTAAGACTTTGAAAGCTATTAACATTAACACTTTAGTTGTGATGACTCTACAAGTACTTCAACTATAGTAAGGAACAGCAGATGAAGAATTAGTTGGAATAATCAAAAACCCTTGTCAAGTCAAATACGAATGATATCTTAATTTGAGATTACCGGATGAATACTGAGCTTTTACATCGCTGCACTGTTTAATAAGTGCGAGCCGACGTTTTGATCAGTTCCCAGAGTTTTCCTTTTGTTTATTCTAAACCAATGGTCCGTGAGAAAGATAATGGCTAACAACACGGTAATAAAGAAGGTTTTAAAAAGTTATTCAAAAAATGACAACAATAGGGTATATCGAGATCTTACAAGCGAGCAAAAATCAAAAGCATGCTAAATCGTCAGTAATAAAGTGCTCCACATTCGTTATCAAACTCGTGGAGCAGACAATTAATCAAGCTCCGATAAATCAGAATGCTACTGTCAGGCCCGAATAGTGATTCAAGTTGTGCTGATCAAGCAGACAGGGGAGAATCTGCCAACTTTTTGTTTTCTCAGTAAGGCCCACCTTGTTGCCAGGAAACACTATTACTATGACAACACTAATTTCATCCTCCGAAGCGCCTTAGTTTCTCAAAATAAAATTAATATTTCACTTTTTTTTTTTATTTCTTTCTCTTTTCATATCCATCACAAAATAGTCTATGATTAAGACTTCCTCTCTACCAAGAAATCATATGCTATCGTCTCCTCGCCCCGCTTCTTCTAGTTCAAGATCGACAAGAGTACTTGAAGAGTTACAAGAAAACTTGGAAAACATTCAAAAAGAACTAGAAAATACTAAACAGCAGGTAAATAATAAATATATATTTAAGACTTCCCCATCTCATATGTATCAGTTACAAGTTGCTCGAGACGCAAAGGAACAATATGAAAAAGAAAATCAATCTTTTATTGAATCCAACAAGCAACTTCGAGCTGAAATTCACGAAGTCATGCAAGTGTTAGAATCTAAGCAACAATTACTAGATGATACCAAGAAGCAATACCTCTCAAATGAAAACAAAGTCAAACAACTAAAAGATGAAGCTATGGCTGCTAGAAAGGAACTGGACGACCTCAAACGAAGGGAACTCATGATTGAAAAAGAGCGTCGTACAGTTGAAATTTTAAAAGAGAAGCTATCACAACAGTCCAAGTTACTCGATCAATCAGTTACACGACATCAAACTGAGTTTGATAAGGAAATACAAGCTCAAAAGGAGCTGCTTGAATCTATTCAGCAAGAGACTCAAAGATTAAAATCCCTAAATATTGCTGATATTGTAAAAGAAAAAGTTGAAAAGCAAGCAAGTGAAAGAAGAAGGCTGATTGAAGAGTTGAAGCGAGTTGAAGAGGAAATGGACAAAAATACTCAATCATTCATTGAACAAATAAAGAGCGATCTGACAGCCCTATTGAATCATGTCGACACTCAGCCGGACTTGTCTGAACAAGTTAATCAATGTAAAGATGCAGTCAACAGTTTGTCCGTCAAAATAAAATGATCGTCCAGATATTGCGGCTCTTCAAATGTTAAAGAATAGCATAATTTTCTCTTGGTTCGTAATATGTACAAATGTGGTATTTTTAAGTAACAACGTAAAAAAGAAGAATAAGGGAGGTATGATTGAGGAGTACATCATGAAGTATTCCACAGATTTAAAAGATATCTTGGGCTGTTACTTAATTCAACACCCAATCAATATTGCACTTTTCTGTTCCTCAAAGCCAATAAGTAATCATCATAATAATGATGATAGATATTGAAAGTGAAGGAAATGAACCCTTAGTTACAATGCGTTTTATTGGTTCCAGGTGAAAAAGTGAAGTTACGGCTTTTGTGACTGCGACGTTTTTTCTTTTCCAAATTTTTTTTTTTCAACACAGTCAAACCTCTGTTTCTTTAACAAAAAAAAAAAAGAATAGAATGGGATTAGCAGGTCAAAAGGAAAAACAACGCATCAGTTCCGATCCAAACAACTTGAACTGGAGCAAAGACGAGTCCAAGTTTGGCTTTAGAATGCTTCAAAAGATGGGCTGGAGTCCAGGAAAAGGTTTGGGTGTCAACGAAGACGGCAAAAAGGAACATATCAAAATCAGATTAAAAGACAATACCCTCGGTGTGGGCGCTACCAAGAAGAGTGTGGATAATTGGTTAGGGAATACAGATGCATTTTCAAGACTATTGGCCGATTTAAATTCTCAAACACCTTCAGAAACAAGTAGTGTTGCCGATGAATCCCAAGAGGAAGATGATACCAAGGATAAAAAGAAGAAAAAAGAAAAGAAAGAGAAAAAGGATAAGAAGGAAAAGAAGGAGAAAAAGGAAAAGAAAGAAAAGAAAGAAAAGAAAGAGAAAAAAGACAAGAAAGAAAAGAAAGAGAAGAAGGAGAAAAAGGACAAGGAAGAGAAAAAGAGAAAGAGAGATAGCGATGATGATAAAGTAGAGACAAAGAAGGCCAAGACAGAAGAGGAAAGTAAACCAGCTGTTGTTTTACGAAATGCGTAAGTACCAACGCTGCTAGATTCATGTATAGAAACTAATTGTATATTCAGTGCTCGTGCCAAATTTTTACGTGCAAAGAAGATGGCTACTAGCAACAGTGGAGATAAATCACATTTAAATGAAATCTTGGGCATCAAATCATCATCATCTACAACAACTACAACAAACAATAATCAAGGATATCAAACTTTTGAAACTTCATCTTCAACATTTATGGCTGCATTTACTGTTTAATTAAAAAAGAATACTTCATTGTGATAGAGATGCTTTATATGCCAGTCGCTCGCGTAATTTTGCTACAATCAATTGTGCTGGCAGATCTTCGTGTCTAGAGAGCTTATAATAGTTGTGTATAAATTTCTGTTTTGAGTCGTCTTTTTCTATCAACTTGAATAATCGAATTAATTCTATGAACTGATCATAACCAAAGTGTACGCTTTTATCTAATATAATATGGTTATAAAAATAGACAAAATACTAATACGCTTACCTTCAAGGATAGAGAGGTTATCAATCATGAGCACAATGTCAAATTTAAGTGGCAATATATCTTTTTCTTTCAATATCTCGAGTAATCGATCTGATGCTTCTTTATATTCTTTTTGTTCAAGGTGAGTTCTAAATCGCTGATAGGTAACTAACAGTGCATAGTGTGGACTGATCTCTACTTCCTTCACATGTGTCACCACTTCACCAAGTTTTCCTGTTCTCAAGTACTCATTGAATAGTTGATGAGAGAGTTTATCAAGTCCATCGCGGTCTTGTGCTGCAGCAAATTCGAGAGCTGCTTGGTGTATATCGTTCTTTACCTCATACCTCTTTCCAAGTGATGAATGTATATGTCGTTCTACCTGGTCTAGTCCATGGTCACTAGCAATCTGCAGTAATTCCTTTAAAAACTCAATACTCTCTTTTAGCACAGCTGGTTCGCCTAGTAACTACAATACATATTCAGTATGAGCACATATGAACACAGTATTTATCATACGTACTTGTATGATCCAGTGTTGACTATTTTCTTTACATCTTGCCAAATACATGACTGCTTCCTTCCACATCGTCTCTTCCTTCACAATCAGCTTTGCATATTCGTTTATACACAGATAAACAGGGTCCATGATAACTCCTTTTCCATGCAGCTGATATGTCTGACTCATCTTCTCTCCTATACAAATAAACACATGCCCCAGATGGACCTGTAACCAGAGATCATCCGTTACACCCAGAACGTCATCCAAGCATCCCATCAACAAATACGAACACGCTTTATCAAAAGAATCATTCTTGTTAAACACTGTCTGTGCATAAGCCTGCAGTTCGCCTAATGACATCCAAGGTCGTTTGAACCGAGAGGCTGCCATCAACTTTTCTACAAAATTTAGATCGTCATAACTGGCCTCATCGCCTCTTAATATCGAAAAGACGCGTGCAGCGCCTACTGAATAAATCGTGCCCTGAGGTGGTAATTGATCGCGCCACTCTATCAATGCTTGATTGTCTCCTTCTTGTATACTGAGAAACGCGTGAATTACATTTATAAGCGCACTGTTGTCAGTGTCCATGTGGTGGAGTTCAGCAAATACGGTATCATAGTCGCCACGGATGAGGTAATGACATATATTGGTCCATTCAGAGCGTTGTTCTATCGGATAGTATGTATCGGCCCAATCTGTCAGTTGTGTCAAGTAATCCTCTGATGAAGAAAAATATAAAAGAGAGCATAGACTCCATAATTTGATAAGATGTTCTTTTCCTGAATAGTCACGGCAAAGAAGTCTGTATCTATAAACAATGTTGTCTATGGCTGCTTGTCTATCAGGAGGGGAGGGTTGTTAGTTTTATAGTTTGATAATAAGTTCTTTCTTACTCTTCTACTCCAAACACGGTCAGTTCCTTATCTTGTGTTATATTGTCTAGCTCCAAAAATAATTCAAGTGATTCTGTATAAAACTAAAACATATCCTTTTAGTCAATGTATATTAATCCACTCCCTTTTGATTCTTTTACTTGTCTTTTGTCCATTGACACATTTTTGAATTGAAGGTTCTTTAACCCTTCATTGACTGTGGTCTAATAATGAGTATATATATTAATTGTCAAAAAACACGCCATGTTGAAGTTATGATCATACCAAAATATTTGCCGTGTTATATTCCTATAAAAAATGACCCTTTCTTTTAGTTGCCTATTATAATATTAAACAATACGCTATACAACTTTACTCCAAGATGAGTTGCCATGTAATATTTTATAAAGAAAAGAACGGAAAAAAAAAGTTTTATTATGCTGGTCACACGTCAATTTCAAAATTGGTGATCTGTGGCAAGTAAGCACACGCACTTAGTTCTAGCATATAAACATCTTCAAATACATGTCTACCATCATATCCACCTATCAAATAAAGTCTTGAATCATGAAGGACGGATGTATGATAACCTCTTGGACTAGGCGGACTTCCATAAATCTTTCTTGTTTCCCAACTCATAGTCACCAAATTTAGCAGCAGGACCTCGTTGGAATACTTGCTTCCATCGTATCCACCTGTCACAAACAGATAGGACCCCACTTGGGTTGTCGAATGAGCCAAGCGAGGAATAGGACGGTTCAACTCGATCTGACACCATCGATTGGCAAATAAATCCAAGACATGAACATCGCTAAAACACTCGTGTCCGTCACTGCCGCCATAGATAATAAGTTTATCTTTCACCAAGTTGCTCGTGTGGTATCCTCGAGCAATTGGCGGTGTCCCCTGAGGATGTAATTGTGTCCATTTTAGGGCATGAGGGTCTGAAATGTCCAAGGCATGCACGTCCGCCAGCGCACGCGCACCATCGCCTCCTCCAGTCACAATAATTTTTTGGTTCCATAAACAAGTTGTATGTGCTCTCCTCGGTGAAGGAGGTTCGCCTTCCACTTTGGGCTTAACCCAAGTAAGTGTATCTAATGGAGTCATGATCAATACGAAGCAAAGATACAAATAGTTTCCTTTATATTACCTATATTTAAAATGTATACATCGTTAAAATAATTGGGTCCATCGCCTCCACCAAAGACATAAAGACTATATGACTTCTTGCCTGGTCCTAAGACTCGTTCGACTGTTGTACAAGAATGGGCTCGACAAGGAGGTGGTGCTTGTCCGGTTGTACGAGGTTTTGACCAAGTGAGTGTATCTGTCAGAGAGATTAATGTTTGTATCCCAATAACTTTTTAACTCATACCCATATCCAATACATAAAGTGTATTAAAACAAGTCTTCATATCACATCCACCAAACACATAAAGATATTCACCGATAAGATTAGCTGTGTGTGCACGCAATGGCTTGGTCGGGTACTTGCCATAGGTCATTGCTCTTGACCAGTACATGCCAGCTGCAGGTGCTGGAGGCACATTAGCACTCACGCTTAATTCAATGGCCGCTGCAGTGTGATCTGATACGTGTGCACGTTTTGATGTACGTTTATGAGTTGTTGGCGTAGGTGGTGGATCCTTGTGTTGATAAAAGGAAACTGTAGGTCCTATTAATTTCCCTCTAAAGTAAAGCTGTCATTGTCGTGTTACCTGAATCGGAAGGAACAATAGGATAAGGATATCGACTACTACTGGCACTGCTGCTATGGGTTAACTCTATGGATTCTCTACTTTCTGATGCAGTCTCTGGTGGCAGTGTAGGTGACTCTGGTCTATCATAACTGATCTAATGTGTGAGATTCCATTGAATATTTAAATTATGTTTATATATAAACCTGTCTAATGATTGGCTTGTTGACTTGGCTTCTGAACTTAATGAAGGGTGTCGTTTGTCTCTAAATGAAGAAGCGGTGGGTGAATATACATTGGTCATCCAGGCAATCGGACTATTTGGTTTTTGTCTATCAGTCATTTTATACAAATATATATATAAAAAAAGAAAAGAAAAGAAAAGAAAGAGAGAGCACACGAGAAAATTTCTTTTTGGTATGAACGACGTCATTTTTTTTTTTCTTTCTTTTTTCTTCTTTGAAAATGGCAAGTGATCCAATTACCATTCTGCGCATTAAGCGTAAACGAACAGAGGAGCCTCTTGAAGCTTTATGTAAAAATAATGTTACAATACAATCAGACTTGATGCTCACTTTGTGTATCAGTACTTCAACAACAAAATGAAGAAAAACGGTTAAAACGAAGCAATGAGGATACAAGTGTATTAAAAGGTGAGAAAAAGAGAGAGAAAGAAAAAAGAAAAAAGAAAAAGAGAGCTAACAGGACATTAGTATCAGCAACTGCGCTTCCAACTATATTTCGTCTAGCAGAGACAGTAGAAGAAGCGAGCTTTTCAAACTTGGATGAAGCTCGAAAACTAAAAGTAAAGAGCGCTTAGGGATACAATACCATGTATATAACTTATGATCAATAGGATCGTATCTCTAGACGTATTCAACCTGGATTGAGTAGACCACAGACGCCGACGTCCATTGAGGAAAGGAAAGAACAGTTGATGCAAAAGCAAAGTGTAGGAGGGAGGAAAGAGAGAGCATATAATCAACAGATCACTTATTCCATTTCAGGATGTATCCAAAAAGGCAAGATATAGAGTTATCAGTCAAAATAGAGCAAAGGCAATAGAAAACATGCCACCGGTGTAAGTGTGAACTATAGAGAAAAAGAATAGCAACTGATGTAACCTTTAGTGTACAAAGTTCATCCGAAAAGGCAGCAGAAGATCTATTTCAGATGTATGAAGCAGTAAGAGATGATGAGACGACTGCTAAACAACCAAAGTAAAGAAAGTGTATAATGTCGTGACTACAACTAAACGGGAAATAGGTTAATCTTGGATGAGGATACAGAGGATGTAGATGACATTATGTGCAATTTTATACCCATGATTAAGGAATATTTGACATGTAAGTTTATGTCACATATAGAATGAAAACGGGGAACTAAAAACAAACAAAAGTGAATGATCGAGAACAGAAACAAGATGATGAAGATGATTATGTTTATGACGTTTATTACAGAGATGATCAAGAACCCAATGCTCTTAATGTCAATAATGTTGGATCCCTCGTCTGGTTTGATAATACAACAGAGTATATGGATGATAATGACACTGAGAGTGAGATGGGTGATGTTGGTGATGAAGATTCTAATGGTAAGGCATAAGCATCCTTTTTTTTTCTTATACTTATTCTACATATAGCTGAAGACTATTATCAGAATGATTATCCAGATGAAGAGGATGATCACGATGACCACGATGAATTTGAAGAACGTAAGCATGAGAGAGATAGTTTGGCTATATCATTTGCTAATGTTTTTTTGTACTTTAGAATACGGATATGACCTTTCTTCAGATGACGAAGACTATTCTTTATAGATACAAAAGTTTCTTAATAAACATAATCGCATTTTGCTAATTTTTTAGTTGATATACTCCTATTTTAATATTTACGCGTAAATAGTAAACATGTAAAGAGCCACATACTAAGGCTATCACCTTACTGTCGCACACACTCGAACTCTACCGGTATCTATTTTAAATTTAAGCTTATTTCCCACTGCTCTATTTTGTTTTCCTTTTGTTTTATTTTCTTTTTATACACACACATGACTCAAACACTTCCTTGGGATCAAGATACTCCTCTAAGTATTTCCGAGCTTCTGAAGCATGTAAGTATATAAACACGCCATTTATCCCCCTTCTTTACAAAATATTTATTTTGTCCTTCTTAAAAAGTCTATGGGTTCAGTCAACATGCTTGCCTCAGATAATTCCTTACTTTCTCAAATGTCTACTCACTTGAACGGCCTTCTTCGTCATCGTCAAGACGATCCTCTTCAAGTCTTTGACAAGCTATTTCATCACGCTGAAAAAGCCATGACATCTGAAGCCGATAAACAAGTCCTGTCTGTCTTAAAATGTCAAGTGTCTAGTTTTATTGGTGTAACTCTTGGTGTTGAGCCTTTTTTAGAACAAGACCGAAAAGTAAAAGAAGAAAAAGAAGAAGATGAAGGTGAAAAGATATCATTGTCCACTGCTATTGTCAAGGAAGAAGAGCACAAGAAGAGTGCCTGGGAGCAAACCAAGGCATTCTATCATCAAGTGAAAGCTGATATCTTTGGTCCTGAACATTCAGAGCACGAAAGACTTCGTCAGTTGGCAGAGGAGCACTATGGTGAACACAGTGCTGAGGAAGAAAGTGGAGATGATGATGACGAGTATGAAGAGGTTGAAGAGACAGTTCAGATCAAGTCTCGTGAAATAGGTGCACCCGATGAGTTTAAGGTGGTTCGTCGACGTCAAAAGAAAAAGAAGACAACAACAACCAAGATCACCTTTAATTCACCTTACACTAGCAGCGACATGAGACAACCACCTCGTCATCCCATTCGTGCACGCGAATTCCGTCCGAGAAGACTAGAACCATTACCCGAGGATACGTTCTGTATACCCATCTTTTTCCCTTCTGAAGAGAGTTACGGAGTAAGTCGTACAAAAATGGATCGGCACTTGATTAACTTTACTCAAGGTATTCCACGCCGCTTTGGCATCAGCTAAACGAACACTTTATATCTGTGTGTTCTCATTGACTGATAATGATACTGCCGATGTCATCAGTGATGCCTATCAGCGTGGTCTGGATGTTCGTATCATAACAGATAATGATCAAATGGATGTGAGAAAAGGAGCCGATGTCCTTTTACTCAATGAACGTTACGGTATTCCTTATAAATATGATAACAGGTAACAAAAATAACAGATGCATATGAGGTAGTAAATTAACCTTATTATAGTGATCAATTCATGCATAACAAGTTTGCTGTCATTGATAACAAGACGGTGATCACCGGAAGCTTTAATTGGAGTTGCGGGTAAATGGGAAACAAGTGGATTTTTACTCATAAAACTAAATTCTATACTAGTGCGCGCTACAAGAATCGTGAAAATGTGATCATCACTAATATTCCATCTGTTGTTGATGCTTATTCAAAGGAGTTTGATAAGCTTTGGGACTATTTCTAAATATAAAAAAATAGACGTCATGTCTACATTTTCGTTAACAATAAAGGTCAAGAGCGAGTTCACTTATTGGCTGAGTTCCCTCTCACTCTCTCTTTCTCCTCTTTTAGTCTGTGTTGCTTGTTCGTCATACTATCTACTTTTTTTTCTTCTCTTTTTCTTTTATTATCATTTCAAGGGCGATGCGACTTTATGCCATTCCGATCGTAAAGAACCGTTGGGCTTATTATTGTCATTCGACGATTCCAGTCCAGTCGCGTTTAGTGAAAGCTGTCAACTGGTCGAGTAAAAAGTGGGAACAGTTGGGGAAAGCAGATCCGCAGACTTGGAAACGAAAATTATATGATCGCGGTAGTCATGTCATGAATCAGCTGGACTATCAAGAATGGTTTTTGAAAAGTATCCCAGCAAAGAGCGAGATTCCAGAACCTATAAAAAGTGTAATATCACGTATAGACAAAAAAAAAGATCCCTATTATTGATAATATATTAGGTTGCTATTCACTATCCTCGTGTGTTGGAAGAAAAGATGTTACATCACGATTTAGAAAAGCTATTGAAGGAGAGAGTGCCGTATCATAAAAAGTATATGTATTATTCTGCTTATTGGGTTCCATTGTCATGTACCTTTGTCATTGTCCCATTGATCCCAAATATACCATTAGCCTATAATCTATTCCGGCTTTATAGCCATTATAAAGCATACAAGGGCGCAGATCATTTGAATGACCTGACGAACAATGGTTTAATGATATATGAACAAGATAAGCAACTGGATGCAATTTTAGACAATAAGAAATTTGTTACAGCGACAGACATCAAATTTCCTGAACAAGTCAAGGACGAATTTAAAACAAAGAAACCAAACCTGAAATTATTGGAACAGGATTTAGAAGGAGTTCTTAGTATGGCAGATATCAAGCTGATAGGAGAAGCATTGGATATACCGGGAATAGAATTAGAACTAAATAGAGCCAGAACGCAGATACTCAAAGGCATCGCCTTGGATAAATTCAATTAATAATAATAAAACTTATCAAGTGATATCTTTTATTCGCTCAGCTGAAAATCAAAAATATTCACACTAAATCGTATAAATGACTCACTCCACTCCCTCTCTTTTTTCTTCTTTTTTCTTTTTTTCTTTTTGGCATTTTGCCCACTTTAAGCTAGACATGCTTATTTCTCCACCAGTTGCTACAAGAAGAGATATTCCACCTGGATTCATTGGTAAAGAAGCATATACAAGGACTTTTTGAGTGAAAGCTAACCTATCACCAGATTTTGCATCCTCTTCTTTTGATGCCATCTTTTATTCTAACACAGTTGATTCAACACCAGAAACAACAACAAAAGCTACTACAACTACTACAACTGGAGAAATACAAAAAAGATCAAGTCATTTACCCGATCTTATCCCCTTCATTTCATTAATCACTGAAAAATGCGACGTACAACCTGTTCACCTGGTGATGGCCCTGATGTATGTGCAACGATTCAGAAGATGTCTTCCTGCAGGTAAACTAAATGATGATGATGACGATCATATATACTTAGTCTTATTTAGGTTATAAAGCAGAACCAGAAGCTGCCCATCGTATATTCGTAGCATCTCTTTTAATTGCAAGTAAATACAGTGAAGATCGTTGTTTATCTACTAAACAAGTTGTCCGTGCAACCGGGGATGTTTGGTCAATAAAAGAAATTACTCGTATGGAATTAGCTTTTCTAAGATTTTTGCATTGGGATCTTTACATTAGTTATGAAGAAATGGTTCACTTTTTGAAAGGCTTAAATTTCGATGTCAATACCATCCTCCCTTCTGTTAGTCTTGATGATACTTTTTAAATGATAATCTTGTAATTTTATAACTATACCCTTTTTTCATCATGTATCTTCTTCCCCCCCCCCTTCTTCTTCTTCTTTATATTCTACTAATAAACCCCTTCTTCTTGTAATTAAAACCCATATGCATGATTGTTTGCTTACTGTACTACGTCCTATTGTTCTTTTGTGACAAGATGAACGTAATTACCCATCAAACTTGACACCCCGATGACTTTTTTGATACCCAAACAGCCATCATTGACAGGGGGGTAAATAATATCCAATAAAATTAAAGCATTAGGTACTGTGTGGTTCCACTGTCCATTGAACGATCTGTTGAAAAAGGAAATTTTATTACCACTTTGTTCAATTACGTTTTTGGTCAGGGCAATACGATTAAACAATATTTTATTAAATCGCATGTTTGATGGCTGTGGGGTTTATTTATATTCAATGTTGCAGAGGGAGAAAAAGTTGAGGTGTCAGTGATGTGTGCAGCTACGGGAAGGAGGAATAGGTGTACTGACAGGTACAGCATCCAACCAGAGACTTTGTTATATAAGAAGCCTTGTGATCTGTGTTGAGATTCAGGTCAACAACTTCTTTAGATTCTTGTACAAGCTTCGCCTCGTCATATTGAATCATAGGGCGTTTTCTTTGACGGCTTCTCCACGTTCCAATATCCACTTCAGCTTCTATATCAACAGCAAATCGTAGGTCAATTATGAGCCCTTTTACTTGATTATACTGTTGATATATTTCAGGCTAAAGCAGACTCTCCGCTACATAATACCATTCAGCATAAAGAGTTAATTCACATTTTAGAATAACTATCCTTATATATTCTCTTTATGTTTTCAGTCAAATTGAACTGTCGTTGATATGAATAACCTTTCTTAATAAAAGTGTTCAAGTGATGCTCAAGTAATCATATCTGATAGCCGATTGTTTATTGATCTTGGTCAATATGAATTCTCTTTCGCTCATCGTATCCAGCTTGTAAATTGAACTGTTAGATATCTTTTTCCTTGTATCTTTGTCTATTGTTATATATATATAAATATCTTTTTTGTAGTGTTATGATCATAGATACAAGCATAAAACTAATGATGTATATTTATCAAGTACTAAACACATAGTAAACATAAAAGAGCTCTCTTCATTAATCGGCAAATTAAACATAGTTGACAGTTTCATAACACGCTTCCTTTTTAAAATCTTAACAGACCACTATAACTACTTTCTGATAACAGCCGTTGTATCATAACTGTAATATATACTTTTTAATATCCATCCTTAGAGAGCCACTACGATACTTCAATTGAACAGTCGTGCTCTTGCGTTTAGATCAACGGTTCCTTCTTTGACGATCACTACTGAATCATACACTGCCTCATCAACAAGGCACTTCAGATATACTGAATTAAGTAGAACTAAAAGGTTCTTCCTAGTTATTCTCATTTTAATTAGATGCTAATAGTAGCATGTACAGTAGCCAGCTATTGTCATTATTCACAGGTGTTAAAATGTATAAATACTACTGTTTTATTCATTTTACCAAAGATAATGCTTCAATCATTCCTATTTACATTCCCTTTTTTTTCATACTTGATAGCTTTTGTCTTTGTATTTTGAAATACAAACGAATAAACCTGTGAGAGAAGCTTTTTAAGCTTCGTTGATTACTGAGAAAATATTTTCAATCGATTCCTTTTCAAATGAGCAATCACTTTAGCTTCCTGCTCGATCCCACAAAAATAGCAACTTGGCTGTGGGAAGAGAAACAGAGAGAGACCTATGCAAGTCGGGCGGTTAGGCCATGATATCGACCATTCAAACATTGCGCTTAATTCATAGCTTGACTATGAGTATTCAAGCATTGGCTCCACCCCGTTTCTATCTGCAGTATCTTCTTCATTTCAGCAACCTATAAGCCAAAGTCAATACGGATTGGAATACTCCACTAGAGTTACCACAGATATGACGCATGCATTTCTGTTGGTGAGGAAGTCATCTATACTAATCATCAGTGGAAAACCACCTTTGATGTGGATCTGTTTGACAACAAGACAACCTTTTTCCTATCAAAACGCGGTTATGAATGAAAAATCACATTGTTTCTGAATTTTTTGAGATACACCATAAAATCTAATTCACTATAATCATACAAGAGCATAGTGATTCTACATTGGATTAACGCGCGTTTTGTCGAACTTCGCTTGTCAATAGAAGTCATATATATGCAACTCCTTATCTTCTGGTTCTTCCACTCATTAGACGCGTTTTCATTTGATTGTTTCTCCTGTGTGTTCAAATTCCGTTAAAAAAATAAAAAATAAAGAAAAGTAGGCATTTCCAACTCTCAGTTGCTCTTTACTGTATTTGACATGGTACAACGTAATATACTCCATGAACTTGCATCATTAGCCTTTTTGAAGAAACTGATCTGACATTTCTATATAGCAAACCAAAGGATTTACTCTGCGTATTTTATTACTCCTCCTGTCTATGAGAAATGGAAACAACCTTTAAAGTACAATATTTTACTAATATTAAACACCTAAAGATTTACTTTATCTTTTTAGATCGCTCGAAAGTCGTTTAAAAACAGAGATCAACTTTAATTTTCATGATCAGTGCTTTGAGATCACAGGAAGATCGCAGCAAGCTTGTGATGAAACGTAGGTGTTGTTTATTCACTGACAACAATCGACTAAAACTTGAAACGTACAGGATGCTAAAGATTGTCAAAAGAATGTTACCCGAATTGGTACTGTTTATCATGCATTTTGTTTACTATTTATTACTAAATGATATCCTTCATATAGCACACTGAAATTGATGAAAATATGATGACGGGAACTTATGAAGACTTGGAAATTATTGCCAGAACACCTTTACCTAGTCAGCAAAGAGCGACACAGTCCACTACAACCAACAGTCCTGTAGTGGGTAGACCACCTGAACTAGATAAAGTAAAGGAAAAGAAGAAGAGACAATCATCGGAACCCTATTACTATAACGAGACAGAAAGTGAAGACTCTGATTATCATGAGGATGAATATGAAGAAACATTTACGTTTGCAAAAAATGTACATAATCCTATGGAGATCTTGACAGTTCCGTCTGTGGGGGGCAGCAAGCCAATTGATTATTTAACAGTTATCGGACAAGAAACAGACACTGAATGCAGCTATGAAAATAGAGTAAGATATATAAATATAGTTTGCAAATGGGACAAATGTTAATACTTATACTTGTAGCAAGTGAAAATTATAGGATCAGACGAGGATTGTGTCAAGGAAGCCCTTCAGCGATTTAAAAATCTACAAACAATCTACAAGCGAAGAAAGCGACCTACAACGACTGTTGCCTGTGTACATTTGCCTCAGGACGCAGAATTCGCCATCTATTTCTGCCCTATTGATAGATATGCGCGCAAGGATTACGTCAATATTTTAACGTACAAGCATGCACCTTACTTTGTCTTGCTTCCTGTATTCAAGGATAAAACCGGAGTATTCGGAAAGCCAAAGGATCGTATAGATATACCCAACCTATCTCATGCTACATGGATACCAGCACAAGAAAAGCGGGCACCTACCCCTCAGCACTTTCAGCAAACAGAACTGTCGTTGGATGAACGTATGAAAATGGTGTCTTTTAAAAATAAGTTTAACGCTCCTCAGGCTGGAACAGCTCCTGATCAGCGACCTTTGTGGGGTGAAAAGCAATTTGTTCATATTCCAAGCGCCCAAACACCTCCTCTTCAACGCAACACGCCTCCTCCACAAACACATCCTCCAGCTCGGAAAACACCTGAAGAAGATTTTCCAGCTCTACCATCCGCACCTCGTAAGGTACCACCTCCAAAGACTTCCAACAGAAGGGTAATGCGCGTAGTCTCTCAAAAATCAGGCTGTGATTCTGTGAAAGGATTAAGTCAGCTTGAAATGTAAGAACAAAACTTTTTTATGTACATGCTGACTAAAGTGTTAACATTTGATATGATAGGCTTCGACAGTACAATCTCCATAACATGATGACTAATTTGGGTCAAGGGTAAGTGATACCGGTCTTGTTATAATAAACTTACGCGTCCGTATAGGTTAGAAAATGTTCACGGCTACAAGGGCAATATCAAGCTTAGTGCTTACTTGGGAAAGATCTTGTGGACTTCATTGAATCAAGAACAGCAGAAGAAGATTTGGAAGTATCAGCAACTTAATGATATTCTTATGAAAGAAGGAGGGGTCAAGCCTATGTTTAATGGACTGTAAGTGAAATGAAGTGATATTGTCACTTTTTTTTAAAAAAAAAAATTCAATATAGTGTTACAGAAGATGTAGGCACCATTGCAAAGTTCAGAGAACTCTTCCCTTCTCCTAATGGAAAGCATGCTTATTTTGAAATCCATGCTAATGCACGTAATCAACCTGTGCTCCCATATAAGCCAGTGGTCCTCTATATGAACCAACATGCGGTCAACTTTACAAAGATTGTCACAGGCACACACAGAGTTGCAGAAATTGATTGGGTCTCTCTTGACAGAAAGTATGATTTCCAAATGGTCTTGCAAACTGAAGATTTGACAAGAATGGATGTTAAGCCTTATTCGACCTTCCTCAAGAAAATCTCCATCAGTCCTCACTGCAGGCAAATCACCTATGAGAATGTACCCGATTTCTTGGAAGTCACTGATATATATTTGAAAGATACGACAAGACATCGATTGCACTTTCCATTTGTTGTAGAAATAACACGTGTAGAAAAACTTCCCTTGATCCCTCAGAGATCCTTAGGCTACAATATTAACAAAATATTGGGAGATACTGGTCGTGGAAAGGTTTGGTATACAATAGAAGTAAGTATATAATTATATATATATTTGAGCATTATACAAACCTCTCGTTAGATTTTTTATTCTGCACATGATCAATTATTCAAATCAAATCTGGATCTACCTGTTGGCAAGTTTGCTTCTTGGACAGTAGAAGATGTACTTGGAAGACAAGATGATCTCACCGGACCACTTGTTGAATTTGTACGTTGTTTACTCTTGATCATTGAAAGAGCAGAAACTGTCGTTTCAAAAGAAAACGGAGATAACTAACACAACATTTACTAAACCTGGCATTTCCCCCTTCTCCATTATGCATAAAAGGATAATGAAAAAGTAATTATTATTAGTAGTCTTTTCTAAAATGATACTTTAACTCATTCAGTAACAAGTGTAAACACGCACATAAATGAGCTCCTTATTACTAGTCTAATTTAAATATGTGTATAAATAAATACTCTTAAACTGCTTTCCCTCTTTCTTCTCTCTTTTGTATTCATTACTGATGTTACAGTACACTCGATGGATCCTACTGATATTTATATTAGAGGGTAAGGACAATGCCTCCCCCTTCATTTTTTTTCTGCCCGGATTCTTAATATGCAGCATATATCAGTTTGCTGTTTGAATAGTAACAGGATTCAATCCATACAAGGCATCACCGACTTTTATTTGGAAACCAAACCATATAAACAGACACGGCTTGTGATAAAGGCCTTTGACAATGTCTTTTACTTGCACCTCGAACCAAACACTGAACTCTTCCATCCTCAAGCCGTCATCTATCAAAACGGACAAAATGTGCCTGTTGATCGAGACATTATTTATAAGGGACACGTTATCCATGCAAATGATTCTGATTATATCTGGTCCAATTATAAGGAACAACAAGATTCGCTTGGTTGGGCAAGATTGATGATTTATAAAAGGCAATCTTTAAATCGCATACTTCCTTTTTTGTAATAACTTCTTTTACACATAGACCGGATGATTCGTATTTTATTCAGGGATCCTTTCGTGTACATGATGCAATGTATCATATAAAGACCAAAGATACTTACTATCGAACAAAAAGGTCCAATGATCCCGAGATCAATGACTTGACAATCATCTATAAGGATTCAGATGTACTACCATCAGGCGAAGACAGTCCTGAACACCATGCGTGTGGTGTTGATCAATTACCAATCATCCATCAAACAAGCGTAGTAAAGCGTTCTGAAGGATGTCCGGCATCAAGAAAGAGTAAACCATGATTCACTGTACTACATATCCAAAGCCATTAACTTTTATATAGTTATCTATATCGGTGTAGCTGCTGACTGTACTTATGTTCAGCACTACAAAAGCAAGGAAGCAGCACGCATGCAGATCGTGAATGATTTCAATACGGCCTCTGTATTGTTTGAAGACACTTTTAATATCACATTGGGTCTGATAAACATCACATTGATGGATCGAACTTGTTCTGCAAGTGTCAATAATGATGTTGCATGGAATCGTCTATGTGAGCCAAATTATTCACTTTATGATCGCCTAAGTGACTTTAGCCTTTGGAGAAGCCAGTTGGCCCCAGATGGAGCTGGTCTATGGCATTTAATGACAAACTGTCCGTAAGTAAGTAAGATAAGACGGAAAGAGAGAGAAAGAGAGAGGGAGAAATGTTGTGCGCTGGTGCGTCGTTGTCTAAATGCGTTTTGTAGTATCGGACTAGAAGTAGGACTTGCCTGGCTTGGACAACTTTGTAATACTGGGTTGAGAAAACAGGAAGATGATTTTGGAAAGACGCGTTATGTTTCCGGTGCCAGCGTATCCTCTATCAGTAAATAATATATATATTTTTGACTTCATGTCTGTAACAATCTCTCTTCTTAGCTAGAGATGAATGGAAGATCGTGGCACATGAGATTGGGCATTCCTTTGGTAAGGTGGCAGCCTTTTAAAGAATCTTACTTATAATTGCTATTGTTTCATAGGAGCCATTCATGACTGTAATTCCCAATCATGTCCATGCACTTCGAAAAAGTGCTCTTGTTGCTCGTTAAGTAGCTATGAATGCAGCGCTGGTGGAGCATACATTATGAACCCTACTAGTAATTCGTCAGTGGAAAGATTTAGCCCCTGCTCTATCAACACTATATGCTCATCGCTATCCTCTGTCGCAACGTGTCTTTCAGGTAAATTTCCATAGCTGCCGAATACTTTATTGTTGATTGATGATCAAAATAACAAAAATAGATCCTCAAGATCATGCACAAAACTTGTTCCAGTTGAACGTCTGCGGAAATGGTATCAAGGAAGATGGAGAAGATTGTGATACAGGAGGCGTAGAAAGCGTTTGCTGTGATCCTAAAACTTGCAAATTTATTAACGATGCCGTCTGCGAGTAAGTTTATATTTTTTTTTTAAAAAAAAAGGAACTCCTCAAACTTATGGTCATTTTAAAATCTATCAGAGATATCAATGAAGGCTGCTGTCATCAGTGTCACTTTCAGTCAAGTGAACATGTATGTCGACCAGCAGCAACGCTTTGTGATAAACCTGAATACTGTACAGGATCTTCTGGTGCCTGTCCTCCCGATACTTATGAAAATGATGGTACCGCGTGTGGTCCTGATGGCCTTACTTGCGTATCGGGGCAATGCACTTCAAGAGATCAGCAATGCTTTGCACGCGGATATGCAATGAATATTACTAGTGCGTGCTCTGAAAGGTCAAGTGAGTGCAAGATGCTCTGTGACTTTCCTGGAGACGAGGACAACTGTATACTATTCTCGGCAAATTTCCTTGACGGTACTTCGTGTGGAGTCAATGGAAAATGTACAGATGGAACATGTATAGAAGAAAAAATACTACAAGAAAAAGAAATACCCAAAGAAACGCATCATGACTATGTAGCACTTCCATTAATAGTGCCGCTTACTTCTGTGATGATCTTGTTACTTTGTGCAGCATGTTTAATAGTTATACTGAGAAGAAGAAAGAACACGCAGCATAATACATTAGAGACTTCCGGATCTTCAACACTTGCTTTAATCCAACATTAGACACTTTATTAAAATCTTTTTGTGACATCCAGTTCCGTGTAGTTTTTTTTTTTTTTAAAAAAAAAAAAGATGATAATAATAGTGTTAGCATTGTAATGACACACTGTGTCTACACTCATTATCATCAATATATACCCAACTTTCTGTTGGTTCAAAAGTATGACTTGATAAACATACACACGAAGTGAGCTGCAATTTCAATTTCTCTAAAAAAGTAGGTGAAGGACTTTGTGGATATAATATTGATATATTATTAACAGACAATTTCACTTGATTATTATGCATCACAAATTTATAGCGTATTTTCCCCGGAGAGATTCTTTCCAAATAAAAGCACATTTACTAAATTCCTAACACACCCTATAGTAATTCAAAGAAAGAAAAAGGGTGTATTTTTTTTTTTTTAAAAAAAAAAAGGAAACACACAGAATCTCATTTATTTATCGTTAAGAGCATGTTTGTTGACAGAAACTTTTGATTCAATGAGAGGTGATTTATGCTTATCTTGCTTCTTCTTAGCAATTACATCATCATCACGCTTGAATCTTGATACCAAATGGAGATCTTCATCAAAGACAGTAATGTGTCTAGGAAAGCCATTGGGGACACGTACGATTTGATTAGCTTTCGGTCGATAGTATGATAATTTATTTTCACCTAACAGTGGCTTATAGATTTCATCAATTTCACTATCATGGAGGTTGAAGATTGTAACAATCCCTTCTTTCTTTCCTATAATGTTTGAAGCCTCCCAGCCAAATCGGTACATTGCAACTACTGAATTCACACACACTATGTATATAACTATGCTTAAACAAACTATTTTTTTAAAAAACATGTTACCCCCTATAGTAGTAGAGTGGGGGTTGGTGTAGTTTTTTTTGTGCGAGCAATTAATTTTAAACGAGCGAATCAATATCCGCCTTCTGAACTCAAATTTGGCGTCAAATGTGACTTTGAAAGTTGCTGTCTCACCACAACTATAAATTACAGCAAATTTTTTTTTATAAACTTCTTAACACATATCTGCCTTAGATCCTTTGTCAGGGCTTCCATTTATTGGAAGTTCAAAAAGCTTTTACTGGCTTTCCGTTGACAAAGCTTGAGTCATACAGATATAAGATTGCTTATACCTCCACTCTTGATCCCAATGAAGGTATCCAGCTCTTTCCCTCTTTCGAAAGAAAGGAAAGGGAAGTCAAAAAGTTGATACCGTGGATTCGTTTGGGGACATTCCTTTATATATACATTAAAATGAAAAAATGAAAAAAATCAAGGTAAATTATAAAACATGTCAGCCATCGAGTTAGATTCAAACAATGGTTCATCCTTGATTACTTCATCATCTTCTATCACCTTTTTGACGGATGTCAAGAACCCCTTTTGTCTTTCTCTTTGAGTGATAACCATGTCATCCCAAAGGAACACCTTTCCTACATAACTTATCTTTTCAGATGAAGTTGCACCGCATATGATAATCCCAACAGGGTGTCCACAAGCACAGTTGATTTTTTGGTAACATAGTTTATCTACCTTGTTCATGTACACCAGTGTTTCATTTGGCAGCTTTGATACATCAATACATATATTCGTGGTCTTCCAACTCGATGGCTCGCTTACTTCAAGCATCTGAGTATCATTTTGCTTTGAGCTGAGCACACAGTCCAAATGAAAGTTGTCAACGGGCTTCAAATGATCTACATCGCCCGTCATTAAGGTACATTCGCAATATTTACAGAGTACAGGCTTCTTTGAGGTATCTACAGTTGTTGTGGCTTTTGTAAAGAAATTTGATATAATAATTTGCTCTTCTTTTGGCGGACTGCAATTTACGTCCTCATCAATGTCCTTCATTATAGCATCCATATCATTATCAGTTAGGGTATCGTTTATGATTTCCACTTTAGCAGTTTGTGCGTTGTTGGGCGTGTCCGCTTGTGGTGTTTCATCTGTTTCAATGGTGGCAACCACGCTGGTGGAGGAGGCTGCTGTGGTCTCTACAGTAGGGGGTATTGGTATTGCCTCTTTTGTGGTTTCTTCAGCAGAAGGTGTTTCTATTCTTCCTTTTGCGGCTTCTTCAATAGCAAATGTGTCTATTGTTCCTCTTGCGATACTTCCCTCCTCAATGCTTAAACGATGCTTTACAAAGCTTTTTAAGCTAGATATTCCTTCTTGAAAGCTATCATATACTTGTAATTTGCTTCGTATCCATTTTGATAAGCCTTTTACATTCTCTTGTGTTTGAAATCGATCTTCTAGCAGTATAATCGCTCCCCAATCCTGGATTAAACAAAATACTTAGTAAGAAAAAGGCAAGCAAAGATAAAGCTTACATTTCTGTGCCGTATACATCGACCAAGTGCTTGGTTTATAGCTAATGCCACCAAAAAAAAAAAAAAATTAAACCCATGCATTCATGTCTCTTTTGTTTTCCTACCTCTATAGGCCTGTATAGAGTACCATTCGCGTCCAGTCAATACATCAGCGTTTTTACATTTCATCCTTTTCCTGTCATTGTATTCCTTTTTCAATTGAACTTCCATATCTTTTATTCCTGGATAAGGTATCCCCAGAGCCACGACAGCTCGACAATACTCATTCGTAAAGTCTATTCCCTCGCTCACTTTTCCTCGATAGACTGCAAAGAAGATAGCACCATCTTGATCTCCCGTTGCAGCGCACATTGCTTTTTGGATGTGGTCATAAAATCTATTGATCGTCTTTTCAAACACTTTTTTATCGGATCCCTTTGGCTCACACAAAATGAGTTTTTTGTTTTCGATTTGCTTTTTCACCCCTGTCGCATTCCATCTTTCCATAAGCTTATCCAGTGCATTATATGAAGGCAAAAAACATAGTATGCCAAAAGGGACAACTTCAGCAATTTGCCAGATAGCCTCTCCAACATCGTCTTGGTATCGAAAACTCTCCATGTTGGTATAAATACCTTTTAAGCTAGTTCCACTTGGGCCCGTGGGTAGACAAGATACCCAGACCTGTGATGGATCAATGACATGATTGGCTTCCAATTTACTAACGAATTTAGTTTGCAGTTCTGAGGCAAAGCTATCCATCGGTGATAAGGTACCGCTGGTTAGAATGACTGATTTTGTTGTTGCGCACATATCCTGAAAGATGATGCCTGGATTCAAGCACCAAAAGCCTAACTTGTAGGTCCATACATTCTCTTGGCCAGAGTTATTTTTCTTTCTACCGGGCTTTTGTCCGCCTCTTTCCATACGCTTCATAAGGGCCATTCTATAATCTTCGGCATAATCACAGTCTTCTTTAAACAAGTATCCAAATACGAGAAAGATACCTCGAACGATAGTTAGCGAGTTATTGGATAGACACCTTCGTCTATGCACTGTAACTTCAGGATCTTCTCGATCTAATTCATCATATAAGCTCCTGTCTTCAGCCTCCTTTCTGATCGCCTCAGCATGTGCAGAAACAGCCTTGTAGGCAGGAATGAATTGTGTTTCAAATATATGAGCTGTGATGCTTAACTCTTTTAATTTTTCAATGATCTTCTGGCCTGACCAAACGCATATATGCCTTTCATAATCTTGTTTGTTGTATATATTATCAGAAGAAGTTATCCACTCCCAGAGACCATCAAATAGATGCTCTAATATCTGATGAGAATGCACCTCAAATCCACCTTTTATGACTTGCGTCAATTCGATCTTTACTGTATTTAAAGCCTTTTCATCAATTTCAAATGAACCAGCAGAACGTGCAGCATCCTCCATATTATGAGCTATAGATGATCAATAAGCCTCATCAGTATTTAAATAGAGAAAATGCTTACCTTCATCCAAAATAATGATACTTCCTTCCAAATTAATATCCATAAGCTGTCTAATGACTTTATAACAATGGGTGAGCCATTGAATTTAAAATATAGACTTTTTGATTACCTGGATCAAGAATATAGTTGTAAGGGCAGAATATGACTTCAGCAACTTCGTACATTTTTCTTGAGCCGTAATACGGGCATCCGCCTATTCCCTTTCCCAAAGAAACCATATCTTCAATATCCAAAATTCGATTGGCAGGTTCTGTCATTATTCTATTGATAAGCTTTTTTGTTCTATGAGCAAAACCACAGGCTTGTTTATCCAAGAGATTGGAACAGTCTTCAGCCTTGTTGTTCGATTTAGATACTTTTGGATGTATGCATAGCTGTTCACGACTTCCAAGAACGGTCATTCGAGGGCTATAGTTTGTATTCCTCTTTAGTTCGGACACAAGCTGTGTTAGTTGTTTATGCGTTCTACTTCCAACAAAAATACGGGGTATCCTTGGAAATGTTGTTGGCTTCGCTTTCTCTGAAGCTGCAACAGATGCCGAAGCTGGCTCTGGAGCAGGCAAGACATCAGATGGAGAAGCAGGTGTACTGATCTCTGCAATTTTTCTACCGTTAAACACTTGGTTTGGCTGAAAATCATCAAAGGAGGTGTCATCGCACTTGAAACGTTTGAACAAGTCTTCCGGACGGATCATTTCTTCATTTCTAGCTCTCTTTTCTGATACATTTTCTAGCTCTTCTGTCGCAGAATTTAACATTGCCTTTGCTCGCTCTTCTCTTTCTTGTACATCTTTCTCTGCCAATTTTTTCCGCTCATTGTCTCTCCAAGCTATACACATAAACTATAAGTGCCTCTCACAAAACATGATATGCGTGTGTGCGCATACCTAAAGCCGCACAAAGTAAAGCAAGTGATTTACCAGAACCTATGTATAGTGATAAGTTTATCTTTCGTTGTTTTACACATCTAGCGTTGTTTACCTGTCGGACTCTCTAGTAATGCGTTTTCTGAGCGATTTAGAGCATGAATAATCTAATAAAAAGTGTAATGGATTAGCTGATCAAAAGGGATCTATGTAATCTTTCATGTTACTTTGGACATCATTTGTAATTGGGCCGGATCTATACATGATCAATTGAGTCTTATGTTAGCCAAAACAAACACTTTTAAAAAAAGAGATCTTACAGGGCTTTAATGGAAAGTCTACACGAACTGATTCCATGATAAGTGTATGACTTTTTTGTGGTTTCACGTCTTCGGGTTGACGTTGTTGTTCATTGTCTAAAGTAGCCGTGGCATTTGATGGAGACTGAGGAGTGGAACTATTTCTTTTAGTGCTTAACCATTCCTGAAAGCTCTTTCGTAAGCTTCGTCGTTCTTCCATAAAGCTCACTTGTGTAGAAAAGAGAAGAGAAAAGGAATACCAAAATTATTCGCACTCCAAGATTTAGCCCAATAAGACTTTACATGCACTTTTGCTGCGCGGATGTATGCCCAAAAGCGTAATGACATCACATAATAGCATTACATTTGTAATAATGTATAGGAAACAAGGAATGACTGAAATTCTGCATTCAGTCAACTTGAGTGATAGTCATTTTAACTTTAATATCAATGCTACCGTTTTTTTATCCTGTTCTATTCATTATTTATTGCTTAATAAATATAAAAAAGTGTACCTTTTATTCTTCTTTTATTCCTTTATTCCTTGTATAAAATATAAATGGCTCTGATCTACTCTTTATACATCATCAATAAAGCAGGCGGTTTAGTTTATCAAAAGGATTTCTCAAATCAGCTCGAAAAACTATCAAGTAATGAATATCTTGTGTTAGCTGGTACATTTCACGGGTAAAATCATAAAGAAAGTACAAGAAGTATCAGTTTGAATGACCCCATTCTTTTATAGTGTTCATGCCATCACTTCCAAGATTTCACCCATACACAATTCAACAGGAATTCAAATGCTTGAAGCAGAGAATTTCAAGCTTTACTGTCATCAGACATTGACAGGTAAAAAAAAATAATATATTTATATAAAACGTATAACTCAACATCACACAACAGGAACCAAATTCCTTTTGATAACTGCACCACAACTCAACAATGTTGATTCTTACATGAAGAGAATATATGATCTGTACAGTGACTTTGTCATGAAGAATCCCTTTCATACACCTGAAATGCCTATTCGTTCAGACCAATTTGATCAGTCATTACTAAAGTTTATCAACTCAAGTGCCTAAAGTTTAATAATAATAATAATAAACAACGTTTAGTGCTCTTCATCAAATAGATCCCTCAGTTTCTTTTCTTCTTCACTTATATCAGCATTTTGTTTCTTATTATCTTTGATCGCTTCCTGTTTTGCCTTTTCAATAGCCGCATTACGTTCCTCTACTTGTCTAACCTTTGTTTCCCAGTCTACCCTATCTTTTACCCAAAGGCCCAGTCGTCTACCTTCCTTTTCATCTGCAAGCACTGGTGTGATGGCCATTGTGTTGTAGTATTTGAGCAAGGTAGATAATGTATTTTGATCTACATTGTATTTCTCTGTCCATCTCTGCCGGGTCTCTGAAAGATCTTCTTCACCAGGATTTAAATGCTTTCTTTCTTCTAATAAAGAAAAGACAGCATCAATCGAGATTGTTCCGTCCTGCCCATGTCTTTCCAATTCTTTTTCATCTGCCTTTTTTCTTTCTCTTAATATTCCAAGCATGGGATCTGACTGTACACATACAAAATGAGTGAACTGTGTAAAAGTATCAATCTTGTTTCTATTACCGTTCTCATTTTGGTTACTGTAGGTGGGATCGTCACAGGCCCAATAGATTTTAAATGCTCATGCAAGTGTGGATCACGACCATCTTGTTCAATAAAATCTGTCTTTATTTCTTTGACATGTCAATAGGAAGACTTGCATAATATTTTATTTTTTTATAATATACCTGCTGCTGCTTCTGTCTGTGCCTTTAAAGTTGCTGATGATTCCTTTGGAGCACTTTGTAATGTCTCTGGGCGTGCCTTTGTAGGTAATTTTCTAGCAACCTTTGATGTTTGTGCTCCCATTGTAAGTATAAAAGGCGTCTTTAACCCCCCAGATAAAAAGAGTTGAAATTTTATTCAACTGGGTTTCGGAAACACTATTTCGAGAAATGTTGAAGGGAAACTGAGAATAACAATATACAAGTGAATTCATAGAAAGTAATACGGCCTAGAGATTCTTTTCCATGTCAAAGTAACGTCTTGCAAACTGAAATTCAGCAACTACATCAAGAAACAGAAAGCATTATCAGAAATGGCAAAGCGTTTATTATACCTGTAGCAACAAATACGAAGCTCCCCTGGCGACACTATTAAAAATAGCACAAAGAAATGGAAACAGATAAATAGTAAACACTTTATATCTTTCATAACAGCTAGTTAGCCCTCAGTTTCCATGAGGACAACAAGCATATTTTCTTTTCTATCTAATAAGCTATCTCTATTGCATGTGATCCTTCATATCAATTCACTGTATATCTTTATCATGCATCTATCAATATTTTGACAAAAATACAGTAATAGTCAATGCTTACAAGAAAGTTTATCTTCAAGCAATTTGATCAACCAAAATAAGTTCAAGTTCTAAAAATACTCGTGAGGTATGGGACTAGAATGATTTCAGAGTCAAGTGGTCAGAGGGATAATAACAGCTGACTGAGTGACTCTCCATGGCTCATTTATATCATAAAGATACACCTTTCTCTGGTTCGCGCAAAGAGCACACAATCAGGTCTCTCTCTCTTCTGCTTTTTTGTATTGCGTGCAATTTGATGACCCGACAATTCTTTACCATTTGATTGGTTGTTACATTATATCCATATAATTTCAAAGTGAAGATACACACACACACAAAAAAGGGCTTCTTTTTTTTCTTCTTCTTCTTGTTCTTCTTTTAAACATCTCTTTTTTCATTCCAATAATTTATTTGCAAAATGAATCCTGAATAGTAAAGTTTCTTTTTCTTTGAAATAGAAAATATCTTTCTCATCTTTTTATTAGCGACTACTTGTTTAAGCTTTTATTAATCGGTGACTCTGGTGTTGGAAAGTCTTGTCTTTTACTTCGTTTTGCAGATGACACCTATACCGAAAGTTATATCTCCACTATTGGTGTTGACTTTGTAAGTGAACTATAAAAATATACAGAGATAACCTAAAACAGAACCCTATAGAAAATTAGAACTATTGAATTAGAAGGAAAGACAGTGAAGCTTCAAATTGTGAGTGTCTCCCCCCTCTTTTTTTTTAATCATTCCTTATCACTCATTTATTATTATTCTATAGTGGGACACAGCAGGTCAAGAACGTTTCCGTACAATCACTTCATCCTATTATCGAGGAGCGCACGGTATCATTGTTGTATATGATGTCACGGACGAAGACTCCTTTCATCACGTGAAGCAGTGGTTGCAGGAAATTGACAGATATGCAGCAGAAGGAGTGAATAAATTACTTGTTGGCAATAAGAGCGATTTGACGGATAAGAAGGCTGTGAGTACAGAACAGGCTAATGAGTTTGCAGAGTCCATCAAGATACCCCTTTTGGAAACATCTGCCAAGGATGCTACCAATGTAGAGCAAGCTTTCTTGACAATGGCTAAGCAAATCAAAGATCGAATGGGCTCTACCATGCAACAAACTCAAGCCAAATCTACCGTCAAGGTCGGTCAGGGCGCTTCCCTTGAGCCAAAGCAAAGTGGTGGCTGTTGTTAAGTAGCCTTTTTATTTTTATTTTTGAAATAAATACATTTATATATTAAGATACACCTATTTATAAATTGAAATTCTACGAGGGAGATAAAAGTGAGTAAGAGAGTGAGAAAGTGAGACATGCTTGTCCAAATCAATATTTAAGAAAAGACCTTTTGCATATTTTTCTTTCTTTACTCTAAGCATGGAAAGTAAGATCAACTGCTGCTGTTAGACCAAGAAATACTTATATAGTTATAGATATACACAATGCAAGACATTCGCCTGATGCTTCAGATGAGCCAGATCAAGAAGCTAAAGACACAGCAGCCTCCAACAAGGGCTTTTTAGGAAAATTACGAAATCATAATCCTCGATTCTTGATGCTAGCCTCTCTTGCCATTCTTATCATTGTCGCTATCGTTCTCATCCCCGTTGTTATGATCGGTGTTACCGCGAGAGCAGCAAGACGGCCCAAACCTGTAGGCGACGAAGATCATAGGATCACGAGTCCAAGTAGCCCAGGTTATAAGGACCCATTCAACGACTCTGCCAGACCTAATCCTTTCACACCACCACTCAACCAGTCCTTTGACTACAATGGCCGCGACCGTATCCGTGGTATCAATCTCGGAGGATGGCTCGTGCTCGAACCGTTCATTACGCCCAAAATCTTTGAACAGCCCATTCCTGGATACGAAGCAGCCACACCCGTCGTAGATGAATGGACTCTGACAGAACGATTGGGTCCTGCTGAAGCCAAGCGCCAATTGAAAGAACATTACGAAACGTTTATCACAGAGAATGATTTCAAGAAAATTGCCGACATGGGATTCAATCACGTTCGAATCCCAACCGGACACTGGGCCCTACAGGTGTTCCCCGGAGAGCCCTTTGTGCCCCATCTGTCATGGCAGTACTTGTTAAAAGGTATCCAATGGGCTCGCAAGTACGGTCTTCGCGTCATGGTCGAGCTTCATACCGCGCCAGGTTCACAAAACGGCTGGAACCATTCCGGTCGACAGGGTCAAGTAGGCTTCTTGAATGGTACGGAAGGTCAGTTGAATGCAGAAAGAACCATTCAGATCGTCATGGACATGATTCAGTTCTTTGATAGACCAGAGTGGTCGCATGTCGTACCTATCTTTGGTGTTCTCAATGAACCGGCCATGATGAAAATCCCAGAAGATGATGTCAAGGAGTGGTATCAGAAAAGTCATGATACCATTCGAAAGACATTGGGACCTGGGAAGGGCCCTCTCTTGACATATCACGATGGTTTCTTACCTTTGCCACGCTGGAAGGGATTCTTTGGAAAGAGGTTTGATAGGACTGTCTTGGGTATATATATATATAAAAAGAATTAGGTCTTTAAAGTAATGATTTTTTTTTTGAATATAGAAACTCATTTATATCTGATTTTCAACAAAGATTTGGTTGCCATGCCCAGAGATGTACAAGCAGACTTTCCTTGTAACTTTTGGAGAAGAGATATGAATGAGTCCACGCTAAACACAGGTCCTACCATGGTCGGTGAATTCTCTGTGGCAACAAATGACTGTGGTAAATATCTGAACGGTATCGGTCTTGGTGCCAGATTCGATGGTACGCTTGACCAAGGAGATGGCCCTGCCACGCCTGTATGTCCGACGTGTACGTGCAAGGGGGTGGATGATTGGAAAAAGTTTACGCCCGAATATAAGACGTTCTTGCTCAAGTTTATGCAAAAACAGATGGATGCTTATGAAACTGGTATTGGTTGGTTCTACTGGACCTACAAGACCCAAGATCACGTTAATCCTCATTGGGACTATCTCTTGGCCTGGGAACAAGGGTTTGCACCAAAGGATGTGAATAATCGTGAGTACAGCTGTGGTCATGTTGTTGAAGGTCAACAACAGTAATGATAAAAAACACACAAATAAAGTTGCTAGTTTAGTTTTCATTTGGGTTTTATTTACAAAGGTATATATATATATATATATATGAATAAAGGGGAAAAAAGAAACGGATCCTTTTTTTTTTATTCTTCATCCAGGTAGATTTGATCTTGTAAGGATAACCCTCTGCCTGATTCTCTAATAGGCGCAAAGACATACTCATCTTCATTATAAGTCAAAGGTTCAATGTAATACTCTTTCCATGCCCTTAGACCCTCGATATAGCTATCTTTTAAATCAGCTTGATATTCCTCTAGTTTTTCCATATTCTCAATCGCAATTTCATGACCTAGTCGTTGAATTTCTTTACTTCGAAACGTCATCTTTTGTGCATGTGTTAGGGCTGAATCGAGTATATCACCCGTTGTGGTCATTATTTTACCCATGACGACACGTAATACATTATTATACCAAAAGGATATCAAAGGTACTGACTGAACCAGACCTACATATAAATATAGGTATAAATATATGACTATACGCTTTTAAGTTAGTATTTGCCTTCGAGTGTCCAACTATCTTCCTGTCTATAGATTTTTAATAATCCACTATCACATTCTGTTTCACGAAAATAAAGAGTTGTTATGGCGGGAACTTGAAGAGTGACCCATCTGGGCAAAATGGTAGGTGATAAATTATGAATCAAATGAATCACAGCTGTTTGTCTATTGAGTGTAAATACAGTGCTTAAAAACAATATTGTCTCTTTTCTTTACCCATCAAACACAATGTTTGTTATTGTTGGTTCTGTTCTGTTGAGTATTTGCCAAACAGTATAAATACTACAACATGTATAAGGATCGATACATCATAAAATGAACCACTTACTATTGTATATTATTCACATTTTCTGCTGTTAATAGAGGTGAAGTATATGTACTGTCCTGAAAAAAGTAGTATTCTAGCACTCTCTTTCTCCTTATCATATTGTAGGAGAATAAATCCTCGATGATACCTATAAATATAAAAGTTTAATATTCACCGTGTGATACTTTATATTAACATACTTTTTATAAGATGAGAAGAGGATATTTCATGATGATATTCGGACACTGACATGATTCTTGGTGTTTTTTTTTTTCTTGCTTTTAAGTTATTGTTTATAAAATAAGGAGAGAGGGGAAAAAAGGAAAAAAGAGAGAGAGAGAGGGTGTTTTTGTAACCAGGCTGATTACACATGATTTCCATGGTTACACTTTGAGTTTTTTTTTTCTTTTTTTGAACAGTGACATGCTTTCCTTCTCTCTCTGTCTCTCTCTCTTTCTCTTTCCTTCTTTTTAATTTGATTCATTTTATGGGGAATACAACGTCGAATGAAAATTCAGACCCTTCAAAGGCGTTGACCAAGGTCCCTAAACATCTTCAGCCCATCAAGAAGAAACCTACGCCAAAGAAATCATCATCTAATTCTGCACCGACACAACCAGGCATTATACCGAGAGTGAAAAATACCCATCATCATAGCCATAACAATCATCACCATGCCAATCATCGTAATAACGCATTAGATATAGCAAGGAATGACAGCTCAACTTCTGATTTACAATTCAGGTGGACTCAAGGTAGACGATTTCCTAATATTGAGGTAATAAACAACCATCGACTGTGTTGACGCATACTCAGCGTGTAGTAGAATATAGAATATTTCTTACCAAACGATCAAACGGAACAAGATAGACACAGAGTACAATTTTATGTTATACGTTGGGCATTTGGGAGGTAATTGTTTACACAAGCAATAAATTTCTAGTGCAACTCATACCCTTTTTTTTTTTTTACAAGTCGACATATTGTGCCTCCAGAAGTAAAGCCTAGACTATTTGAAGGTATTAGAGTACTTGATGTCAAGTAAATTATCAATGAATTACATATAAAATGTTCAGCAGAGCTTTTAGTTCTTACCACTTTCTATTTTTTTTTCTTTATAGTTGTGGACCTGGCTTATGGGTAACACTATATGCAAAACAAAAAAAAAAAAAGTCTAAAATTTCCAATTCTTTCTCTAGGTCGGCCATCCAATTCTAGACATGGCGCAAGATTTTGTAAGATCAACGTTTAACCTTGTCGATATTTGTGATTTATTACCACAGCAACCTGTATTCAATGTGTATACAAGAAAGCAAGAACCAGAACAAAAGCATCCTAATTTTACCTTTATTTTACATAATATTTTACAGACTAAGAAACTTCCTTTTGATTCGAATCACTTTGACTATGCCCAACAACACATCACTGCCCTTACATATAAACATCAGGATTGGCATATCATCTTACAGGAACTATCGCGTGTAGTCAAGCCAGGTGGATACATTCAATTAATTGAAGTAGATCTCATGCCTCAACATTTAGGTCCACAAGGTGAATTATGGCTGGAACAAAGTAAGCATGACTTTTTTTACTCAGCGTATATAAACTCACTTCCCTTTTATAGTTCATCAAGTACTTATAGAAAAACGTAACACAGAACCAAGATTAGCTTGTCAATTAGAAAAATCATTACTCGACCTCGGTTTAATCGACGTCCAATCGAAATTTGTCTCAATTCCGCTTGGGTCATGGGGACTAGACCTTGGCAATTTATGGAAACAAAACTTTGAATCCTTTTTTGATTCTGCCAAACCATTCTTGACTGAACTGATGGGAATTAGTGGACGTGAATATAAACGAAAGGTACAGGCAATGATGGATGAATTTAATGAATATAAACCATTCAGTAACGTCTATCTTGCCTGGGGACGCGTACCAGATGAACAGCAATAAAAAAAGGATAGTACACATGATATATTGCTTTTTTTGAAAGATATTCAGATAAGGAAACACTTTCTATCTTTATTTATTGCTCTTTGTTCTCTTTCTCCTCTTGTTCTTCTTACGCTTATTGCTTGATGACTTTTGACCTGGTGTAGTCTGTGTATTCTTGGAATCATTATTCGCATCCTGTTGTTGCTCGGCTCCTTCCTCGTCGTCGTCTTCTTCTTCTGTAGATGAAGGCTTCCCTGCCTCCTGTTGTTCCGATGCGTTCTGCTTTTGAACATCTGTAGGGATCGTCAAAGGTTCCTCCACAAGGACATCTTCTGGGACCGTTGTCAATGTCGCACTAGAAGGATCATCTTGTTGCTTTTGCCACATTTCGTGATAGATGCCGTTATTGCGTATCAGCTCATCGTGATTACCTGACTCAACCACTTTACCATCCTTAATTACCAAGATGATATCTGCATTGACAATAGTCGATAAACGATGAGCTATCACCAGCGTAGTACGGTTCTTTGTCATCTGAGCCAGCGCCTCCTGGATATAACGCTCGGTTGTTGTGTCCAAAGCACTGGTCGCTTCGTCCAAGAGAATAATGGATGGATCCTTTAGAATGGTTCTTGCAATCGCCACACGTTGTTTTTCACCACCGCTCAGACGAAGACCACGTTCACCGACCTTGGTATCATAGCCGTCAGGGAACGCCAAGATCTTGTCATGGATTTGAGCTGCTTTGGCAGCAGCAATGACTTCCTCATCTGATGCGTTGACATTGCCGTAACGTATGTTGTACATGATGGTATCATTGAAAAGTACAGTATCTTGAGGCACAACACCAATGTTCTTGCGAAGTGTCGTCTGTTTGACTCGAGCAATATCTTGCCCGTCAATATAAATGTGTCCAGAGTCAGGGTCATAGAAACGGAAGAGCAAACGAAGAATGGTTGATTTACCGCCACCTGAGGGACCGACAAGAGCCACAGTGGCGCCCTTGGGAATAGAAAATGAGATATTGTTGAGAGCGGTCTGACGCTGATCGTATGAAAAGGAGACATTGTCAAAGATGACATGACCTTCACTCACCACAAGGTCACTTGCGCCTTCAACATCTTTGACCGACTGATCGACATCAAAGAGCTCAAACATCTTTTCCATGTCAATAAAGTTTTGCTGGATCATACGATAATACGTGCCAAACCAGTGGAGTGGTGTGTAGAGTTGCAGCATGTATACGTTAAATGTGACAAAGGCACCAGCCGTCAAACGTCCTCGAGAGACTTCATAGGCAAATAAGAGCGAGCCTGCAAGGAGACCACCAGTGATGACTGCATTTTGAGCCAAGTTAAGGACATTCAAGGAAGCCGAGTTCTTATAGTCTGCCTTTTGGTATTCGACAATAGCCTGGTCATATCGGTTGACTTCAAAAGATTCTGCATTGTAGTACTTTACGGTTTCAAAGTTGAGCAAGGAATCTACGGCCTTGGAACGAGCATAGTTGTCGAGTTCGTTCATCTTGCGTCTGAAGGAAGTTCTCCATTCGGTCAGAACGATAGTCACATAGAGATAAAGTGCCATGGTCACAAACACGATGACACCGAATGGGATTGAGAATTGAACAGAGAATACGACGACAGCGATGGCGATGTTGGCGAGTGCAGGGAAGATCTGAAATACAATCTGTGACAAGAGTTGGACGATACTGTTCGTACCGCGATCGACCACACGAAGCACCTCACCCGTCTTGCGATTGATGTGGAAGTGAAGCGAAAGGTTATGCAAGTGAGCAAATAGCTTGACCGAAATCTCTCGTGTCGTGTACTGTCCTACCGGAATCCACAAGTAGTTTTGTAATGCTTGGATAAGGCCAGAAGTTCCTTGCAAGAATTTGAAGCCAACGTAAATACAAACGGCACCCCAAGCAAACTTGGTGGGGTTTCGATTGAATTGATCGACGACATAACCGATCTGCAAAGGCGTAAACACGTTGATGACTAAACTGAATAGCATCAATAAGAAGCACATGATAACAAGCTGTTGTAATTTAAAATTGTTGTGAGGCCAAATAAATGGCAGGACTCGTATGAATCTGTTCCAGAATCCTTTGCTTTCGTCGTTTGGTTGCTTACTGGTACTCAATTCATTATCGATAGTACCATAGGTTGGCTGAGAGGATAATAAGGGCTCTGTGGCAGGAATGTGTCTTGTGGTATAAAGTAATTGAATCACAGAGAATATGAATGTAAAGAGTTCAAGTATGTAACGGCTAATGAAGACGCCGAGTAATAAACGATCATATGTACTAAATACAGTGCCTACAGTTGTTTATGAACATCTCTTTTTCTTTTTCTTATTCTTTTTTTCTATTACCTGGATTAGGTTTGTAGAAACCTATGGTCCAAAGCCAACCAACAGCTGTATCTCCAATAGCAGCTAAAGCAAAAAACAAGTACTGAAGCCAGTACCACTTTGAGAACTTGTGGGATTCATCCAGTAGACAAACCAAGGAGATAACCCATGCGAACCAGGAGACGCCTGTGTAATAAAGGAGCATAATTGGCAGACTTGCAGCATCGACAACTGTTCGAAGCACGATCACGACAGCATCTGCTAAATAAGAAATGGTAACAACACAGGATAGAGTGACGATTAGTTTAGATAGTGGTGACAATCTCTTTTCACGAGATACAGAAGAGCTTGAAATGTCTTGCCAAGGAATATGTCTTGTGCTCATATAACGAGCTAATCCAACAACAATGACAAGGGCTGATAACAAGGTAGGTACCCAGAATAAGGGTGTCGATAGACTGAATGTTCCGCTGGCATAAGACGGTGGATTGGTCAGTGCCATGTTTTTATATATAAAAAAAAAAGTTGTTATGGAACAAAGGACAAAAGAGAAAGAAAATTTTCACCCTCGTACTGGGTTCTAAATTATGATGAAACCCCATTGTTACATTCACATTGAGTAATAACCGGAAGAAGGAAAAAGAGAAGAGGAGGCAATCATTGGTACATGTTTATGAATGGCATATATAAATGTATATTTGAGTACTATGAATGATCTTTCATCATCTTAATGTTTTCTTCTTTTTCGTTTCATATAATGTTGCATAAACAGAACAAAGAAATGCACCCATTTGTACTACCGCGTCACAAAGAGAGAAGTATGGTGTTTTCTAGTTGCAGATAAGTTGCATATACTTATTTTAATATAAAAAATAAAAATGTAGTTTATTTACTTGTTACAATTTGCTTTTCAAGTATTCCTTCCATTGATCAAGTTCCCAACCGGAAGAAACACTGTCATCACGAAGACCATCAAATAAAACGGTAGGACTGACATGAATACCATTCTGACGACCAAGCTTGACTTGCAACTTCAAGTCATTAGAGACTTTATTCCCAGCATTCTTGGGCTCTCCAGAGCCATTAGCCAAAAGATCCAATACTTTATCAGATGGAACACCAACTGTTTCCGCAATTTGGGCCAGTTCTTCAATGATTTGTTTTCTCGATTTTGTTTCAAGTGATTCATCAAAGAATCTAATTGAATGAGTTAATTTATATTTAATAAAGAACAAAAACCTTACTCCTTTTGACGTAAAAACAGCACATCAGAGAATGGAAAGAACTTGTTATCATAAAGCTTTTCAACAGCGAGTGCAGCTTCATGAACAGCAGTAGAAGCAGCATGCCAAGGCTGTACTTGGTGACGAAAAATCAACTTGACTTTATTAGGGTATGTTTGCTCGATATATGGCCATACTTGCTATAAAGAGAAAAAGATTAAGGGAGGGGAGTTTATCCTCACTTTCTGTGTTGTTACCTCACGAATTTTCTTGTAAAGTTTGGCAGAAAAGGGACACTGTGAAAAAGCAGATAAGAAACCATTTTACGCGTTATTTTTTCAACTCACAACATAGTCCAAGTAAAGCTCGATAGTATGTGGCGCAAGTGCAGAGCCTAAACGATGTCCAGCAAATTGAGGTGCTAAAGCCATTTCAAAAAAAAAAAAAGGTGTGAAAACTAAAACAAGTGGAAATGGTTCTTTTTGAGCACTGTTTTTAATTGCGCCATTTGAATATCGAATTGCCCTTTTTAGAGTAACCACTTGACTATCAAAGTAGGGAATGTATCCTTCTCTTTTTTGCGATAGGTTATAATCTATTGTATCTTGTCGTAAAGACATACTAGAGATAGTAAGATACATTGACCAAAACCACACTCATTTCTGTCACAGTTCAAAATTTTGAAAGAGTCATGAACCTCAAGTCTTGATTTCTTTTCGTTTCTTTGCTCTTTATTTGATTTCTTTTTATCTCCAGGCTTGATTCGAGCTCTACTATAGATGATGTAGCGTTTCCCTCAGGATTTGTTCTCGACTTATTTGTAGAGGCGCTTTAAGTGATATTTTATCATGTGAATAAGTTGATGGTCTGCATATTAGAAAAAGAAAAACACTGTGAACAGCGTCAAACTACATGCAAAGAATCAGTGGTGATCTTCATTTTACTGGAGGAAAGAATGAGAACCCAAGTTATGGACTAATAAACCATAACATTGATTGTCTGAAATTATTGAACGGGTGACCTGTTTGAATTTGCTAATGGAAATATCGAATTTTGTAACTCAAAGAAGACCATAGCTTCTCATACACCACTTCGCCTAATAGATGGGGCAGGGTTAGATGTACTCTTTCAAAGAGCTATGTAGAAGATTGCGCTTGGTTCGTTGAACAGTGTCAAATCCATTAGATGCAAATTTGATTGTCCTCATAAAGCCACAAAAAGAAATCTATTCACGTATAAAAGACATGCAGATGGAAGAAACTACAAAATAATTTATCAAACACAAGCATTTAAACTCATAAAGGAAAATTGACTCGGGACAAGATGTGCATACAGCGAATATGCTTCCTGTAGCTTGTACATTTATGAATAAGCGATCAACAAAATACAGAGAGAAACAGGCACATCCATCTAACCAAAATTAGCCAAATGTGCTTATAGCCAATAATAAATGGCTATGGCAACTGTATCCACATGAATCTGTTTTGATATAAAAGCGAGGCAATATTTAATGCAAAAAAATAGGACATAACAATTTCTTCAGCCATCTAATCTTTATACAAATGTAAATCAAGCTTGTTCTTCTTACCATCTGCGCTTGTCGCTCTTGGATTTGCTGCTCCTGCTCCTGCCCCTGATCCACGATTTATTCCTTCTATCAGTCGAGATGCAAAAGCGGCAATTAACCTTGTCACGCAGAATGTGAAAGAGATTGAGAGTGTTTTGGTAAAGCACCTCGAACAGTAAAATGACCCCAGATTGTCAAAGTGTAATAACGTATCAATAAACTCAATAGTTCTTTTTAAGCACTATAATTTTCAGTGTTTTTTATTTCTATGCGCTATTAATAAATGATAAAGACAGGCGCGTTTTATCTTAGAGCATGAAAGCAAGTAAAATCATCAAACATTTCACTAAAGTAAAGTATTGCTCTTTATTATATATGT